GGAAAAGTAACAGGTGTACAATACTCTTGTTTACGTGTGCTTGAATTTTATGTACCTTTTCATACAATTTCATTCGCACGCACAGCTGCAGCGAGAAGAAATATGGCAATGTGTACTCACGAGTGCTTGTACGTTCCACGTGGTGGAATTACATGGGCAGCACGAATTTAATTATATTTCAACGTAAATCTAATGTGGCATAAATTTGCCTATCATTTATTTACTGCCTGTACACTTATCCGTACCATATATTTAATTTACACTATCGTATTTTAAACGAATTAAGAGTAGATAACCGTACTCGTCATAGTCTTCGTAATACCAAACACTGTATTGTTTGCCATACAGTATTCGATGCTTAAAACAACGATAAAGATTGCGAATAATTGTCGCTATTGATCTTAAGAGGTCTGATTTGTAGTCTCATTATCATAAATATACCATAATTGTGCATGAGTAGTGTACGAGTAAGAGTAAACTAACTCTGCCTTGGGAGCAGTGAAAGTAATAGATTTTTACCGTAATGCGAGCTCAACGAGAAGCTAGTAACAAGAAAACTACGTGATCATCATCAGCTGTCAACAGTTATGACAAACATAAAAACAGGGATAGAAAACTTCTCTTCCGCAATTCACGGGGCATTTAAATAACAGTGCCTATATTACCCCAACTTCCTTTGCAATCTGTCTTACGTAAAATACCACTTCAATTTTAAATCTGTATGCGTGCATATTTAATTTTAATCAGAAAAATAAAATATAGAGATGTAACAATTTTGGGGTATAGAAGTCAGGACATCTGTCTTCCTTACGATATTATGTACTAAATAAATAAGTTAAATGGAGTGCTATTAAAAATGACGAAAGAATTAATATTAATTCCATATTTGATCAAAATATAAAACGACATAATACAAAAATTAATAAAAAAATTAACTAACACGTCGAAAACTTAGGTTAACGTGCATAAGAGATTTTAAATAAATGGAAAGTCCTGCATTTGGGAAACGCTGCTCCAGAAGAACGATGACGCGCGCGTTAAATACGCAGCCATGACGCGACGATACGCACGCGTTCGCGAGCATAGTTACACATACCACCTAGAACGCGAACACGGAGAAAGTCAAACTTCGAATCCGACCACGGCGTAAACACCCATCGAGAAGGTGTTGATTTTTAACGTTAAATCGGCGCCCGTGGTCGGAATTCCGATCCGAAAGTTCGACGAATTCGCGCGTTTTTCGTGCACGAAACACGGAAGCATTTCGCCCGGCTCTCCCGACGAGCTTTCCTTCGATCGTATCGCGCAAATTTTCTCGCTGATTTTCTTAAAAGTTAGCCGCTCCTCGAAAGTGTATCGAGAAATCGCGTGAACCATAAAGGTCGATTGAAATGCGGCTCGAGTCCCGCGAAAGTGCAGTCAAGGTTCTCTCTGCTCTTCGCAGGTATCCAGTTGCGCGCGCATCCATGTTTTCTGGTTCGAAACGCGCGGGAAAATGTATGCGAATAACTGAGAGAGCAACCGAGAAAGAATTCGATAGTTTTCAGTCGTGCTGCTTTTCAGAACAAAATTTGTAGACTTTTGTATTTACATATGTAATACAGGTTTTGGGAAACTAGTGAAAAATATACAATTATCTTTCATTGAAGTTTAGAATTCGTGTTCGTAATTGAAATTATTTCAGTTTTTAAGTCCCTGAGATTCTCGACGAAGAAATAATTCTGAGAAAATGCAAACGTTAGTCATCGATGGACTGCAAACTGCACCTTGGCAAAGACTGTTTTAGATGAATATGCGTCTTTTCTTCCACGCGACGCACTGAATACGACTTTAAAATGAGTTTCTTCGAAGCAAGCTATTCGCTCCAACTCTCTAACGTAAATACTGATTGAAATATTACGTGTGAGCCAGTGAAATCTCTGGCTTCGTAGGCTTCCAACCGAAAACGGCCTCGGATGACGTTTCACCCTTGATTTTGATATATTCTTTTTATTATCATGCATTCTCAAAAAATCGTTACTATAACACAATATTCAGAAGTTAACCGCTCCCATCGACCTATCCATTATTCCACGGATGACGCGTCGTTCTTTGTGTTCCTTCGTCCGTGATAAAGAATGTAAATTAAAAAATCGTTCGACAGAAGCATATCTTTATAATTTAATAAAATTGAAATATCCATCTATGAATCTTCCGATACTAAAATGTCTTCCACCCGTAACCTTTTTTAAAACGCTCCGGTACATCGCGTTGTTAATTATAGGTCCGTTCGTAAACCGATCGCCACGCGTTCAAAAAAAAACTGTTATATTCGTGTTGGTATTTTAAGGTAAGCGAGTCTCGACCCACGGTTGGTCAGACAAGGTTTGAAATACAAACGCGATCGCGTTTCGAAAGATTGGAAGATACCGGCGTCGAACCTCCACATTCTTTCTCTCGTTGGCCTTTTTCAGTCCGACGTCTCCCGTTATCCTGTCGTTCGAACAGACGAAACGCGTGCCCACGTGAAGCTGTTTTCTAGATGCGTCACGCAGCATTCCTCGCGATGCGTTTTGCAACCGTTTTGCGTACGCGAAAAAAACTTAAACGCTATTGCGAAAAGATTCGATCGTCCCGCAGAGGTGGAGAAAAAGGCTCGAGCGAAACGTAATTTCGTTAAAACGACGGAGGCGTACGGTTCCGACCGGAGACACGGCGTTCCCGTTCGAGACGCGCCGTTGCGCAGCCGTAATTTTCTGACACACGGTGCACCTGTGTTCACGGGCGCGCACAGTCAATGGCCGGCCGTATTTAGCCTTCGATTCGCACGCAGAAGGTCCGTGGTGTAGCGGGTCGCGGGCAACGGATATAGTAGGCGCCAAGCTGAATGGTAATCGACTCAGGCTCTAATTCATCGTCCATATACGATCACGGTAATCGTAACAGAGGCGCGGACTTTACGACTCGAACGAGTCGGGACCGACGGGCGAACCCTAGCTGCTCGGGTTATGCCAACCGAGTCTTGCATTGTGCTATAATAACGCGCCAGAGAAGACATTGTTCTGTGTCGTTTCGCGTGCTTGGCTCGGCAAAGGGGCGCGCACGAGTGCTCTCCTTGTCGAGAGAAAGTCTCGTAGATACATATATACATCTGTGTAGGCTCTGTGGGTGTATCGATACGTACTGTGCGTCCGCGAGAAGTTGGCTACAGGGGACTCTTGCTTGCTCCGCCTACCCCCACTTAGAGTGGGGAACCAATCAGACCCGCATTCTTTCCGTCACTCAACTTCTCGTGGACGCACAGTGCTTATTCTACTCTAGAACCTTGAATGAAATGGATTTTTTTTTTTGGATATGTGATGATAGTAAGAAGACAATCAACTATGAAAAAGGGTAGAATCTAAACTTGTATCGCTAGAATGAAAGCTAACGACAGACTTTGTCCTTTGACGCCCGCGCGAAATGGTATGCCATGATCGTCAAAAGATTGCCGTTATAGTCTTCGAATATAGCAGTAATAGCGAACGAAAGGCTTGCTTCGCGGTCTGATCAAAATTTCACGTCACAGCGGTCTAGACTGAAGCGTCGCGAGTAACAAGGTTGCGTTCGTCTTCCTCCGCATACTAACGAACCACCGGCCAGCCCGACTCGATCGCTCGAGAATCTACGGTCTGTACCCACGGCGGGAACACCTGTCCCGATCCTCCCTGTCGAGACCTTTTCGGGTAAAATGGAAACAAAAGAAAAGAAGAAATTTGTGTCAATGCAAGCATTGGATATTCTTAACAGTCGGTCGCGGATTACCATGCCGCGGGCTGGCTTGGCCTGGCCTGGCCTGGCCTGGCCTGGTCCTAATGGATCGACATTCTTCTTGCGCAACGAGACGTAAAGACCTTTAACGCCGCAGCTACCTTCTGGTTCTCGACGCGGTGCTTCGGGGGCTGGATAGTTTATATGATTACGGAACTCGCGCTTTTACCAGGCCTTGACACCTACGATGCCGATCGGGACGCGTCGGTCGATCGTAGCTCGGAAACGATCGAAATTTCAAACGTGGTTGGACGTCGATGGCGGCAAAAAGAATCGTCTATTAACGGCGCCATGTGATTCACGCGGTTCGTGAAAGCGGTTGCGTCGAACGCGAAACGATTCGAAACCTTCTTGGAATTCCGGGGACGCGTAACGCGACGATCCTCGAGATCGGAGGAGAAGATGGGTCGGCGAAAGGGCAAGCGAGAAACGCGAATTGTAATCGAACGCGAAGCGGGAGGGATGGGTAGGGACGTTCCAAGATCAGGACACGGAAGAAGAAGAGGAATAAAAAGAAGAGGAGGGTAGGTGGATCCGATCGGTCTCGAAGCGTAGGAAGTTTCGCGTCGGAATGGACGTCGAACTAGGCGAGCTAGGAGTCAGCGCGATCGAGCGAGCGAGCAACCAACCAAACAGTTGGGATCTCTCGAGTCCCGACAACGCGCGTATATCGAGTCGAGTTCGACTACGTGGTGTCCAGTTTTCATGGGCTGGTGGGGTGTACTCCAGGTGGCCGTGGTGGGTGGCGTATAAGTAGAGGCCTGCATTCGCCGCCGTTCTCATACCCTCACCACGTCCTTCGACTACCTCTTACTTTTACTCCGCGCGCGGCTTTTTTCCGCTTCTTTTTCTCTCCTTTTTCCTCTCTGTTATCTCGGGTGCCGTTCGTTGCCGAGAACCGCGAGTCGCTGGATAGAGACGGAGGGAGAAAGAGAGCGTGGGCGTGAGCCAAACAGAGATTATCGTTCCCCGGGGGCAGAGGTACGCGAAAACTCGTCGAGGCGTATCCACGGTGTCAGAAAGCGGTCCTTCCCGCGGTCGGTTCGGCGCAGCTGGAAGACGAGCGTCGCCTCGAAGAGAGGGCAACGATGGTCGCGAGTGTCCGGTGACGATACGTGTCCTCGTTCGCAGTACCCTCGAGTTGTCGCGTCGCGCGAGCGATCGTATAACCGATCTATCTTACAACAGTGTACGCGTATTTCGCGTTTCGACCCGGTGCCAACGGAGGAGACGTCCGCCAACGCGTCCTCGACCAGGATAAATAGGAGGAAACCTCGAGGGAACCACCGAGAGCAGTCGACATGTGGCCGAAAACGGCGCTCCTGTGAGTAACGAGTACCCTAACGACCAGCACGATTTACAGAGATCCGTCTCGATAAGCCGAGAGCGGATTGTTTCGCGATACCGTTACAACGAGAGTCCAATTAAAAATTACTTCGCAACTCGTTTCGCTCCGGAGAACGATCAATGGCCCGAAGACGCGTTATCGCGCTCTCGTTTTCGTTTCGGACGAGTTTTCGCCGGTTAATGACGTCTCGGGGGAATGCTAATTAATGTACGAGTGCTGCTCTAAAAAAAAGAAAGGAAGAAAGACTGGAACGTTCGGTCGTAATTTTCCCTCCGAGCTTCTTTCGCCGTTTCCCGTAATCGCCCGAGACGTTGAACGAAACCGAGAGACTTGGCGAGACGGCCAAATCGACGTCGCGTGCGTCGACGCTCGTAAATATTAGCGACAATCGACGCGAAAGAAAGTGGCTTTCCTCTGTTCTCGAAGACGATCTCGGCGCTCGGATTCGAAAGGAATCTTTACACGATCCGGAATACTCGCTGAAAATCGGTTCGACCGTTATTAAATCGTAACCCGACCGTTCGCCGGCAGCCAACCTCGACTCTCTCCTGCGGTTTGATCGAGAAAACATCGTCGACGGATTCGTACCGGCAGAAAAAGACGCGCGAGTATCGAAGCTCCACGCTCGACTTTCGCGTTTTCGCGCGACCGTATCCAACTGCTTAAGTTAATACGAGACGCCGGTGCGCGTTTACAGAATCGTTCGCGCGACTACGCGTTAAATAGAAAGTCTCCTCGCGGTTGCATCTTCGATTATTTACGAAGCTGGTTAGCGCCGTTCGCGAAATTACGTTTCACAGTCGACGCGAGAAAATATTTGCGGATTTGCAACAGGCTTTCGCGGTAATGTTATGAGTTACGTAACGCGGAGTGTCTCGTGCCACTGGAGATACCCACGTAAATACGTACGTTGTATGCTTACGTAGATACGCTTGTAACCGAGCTCAGCTTTCTCCATATGGAATCGCGATGGATTCCTCCAGCTAGACACGCGTCTCGAATCCTACTTGCAAAAATCTCTATTAATCGATCGACACCCTCGAACCCCCGATTCCGGATGTAGAACGCGAGTTTCTCCCAAGTATCAGATTACGATTATCGCCGACAAATTACGACGAAACCAGATTCGCGGCTTTTCAGAAATTTCGAATCGAATAAATAACTTTTTATCCTAGCCGAATGCCGTCGGTGTCGAGCGTTCCTACGCTCAACGAACAGGATACGTGTGCATACGTATATCGTTCCTTTCGATCGAGTTCGTAAATGTCGCGACACAGCTCTACGAAGTCATCGACTACTTTCTAGCGAACGAGAGGAAAAGATCGCGTGTGTCTTTCGCGCCGTAAACCGTTCGACCTTCTTTGTTCCGTCGAAATCCAAAAAGTTGTAGTCGCGAAAAAAAGGGACGATTATGCGAGCGGACCGGATGTCCTTGATATTCTCCATAATTTTGCAAGTCGCTCTCCTTCGTCCGCAGAGGTAATCGATCGTAACCGATCGACCTTGCGGATGCACGCAACGAAATCGACAGGCCTGGCGTATCTTATCGCCAGGTTGCACTTTTACTTTTTTCGCTAACGCGGTGATTGTCTCTCGCAACTCCTCCCCCTTACTCTGTCTCCGGGAGATTTATGGATTTCCGGCCAACCTGATTTGCACGCTCTCGCGCCAACGTGCATGCTCCCGGCCACGTTCTACGCGCGTCGCGACGCACGAACGTAAGGTTGCCGCGTTTCGACGGGCTTTCGATTTTCTCCAAATTTCGGATCCGTTCGCGAACCTGGTCGTGCAACCTTGAGTCAAAGGAGGACGAGGTCGCGCTCGTATCCCCAGGCACGCTACTAGACGGCCTTCACTTTTTCTTTCGATTAAATTATTTGGTGGTCGCGAAACTCGATCTTCCTGCAAACGAGAACAAACTACGTCGCCGACGAACCACGCGTTTCCAAGTAGGAAATCCAATTCTAAATTCTGTTTCGCGAGCGTCCACCATTAGCGGCTTAGAGTCGAGCACCGATCGATGGAAACGATTTTCTCCATAAACGACCCAGATACCGATCGATTTACTCGTTGGTTACACTCGTTCTATCAATTTTCGTTGTCGTTCATCTATAGAGAATTATTTGATTGCTAATTCTCAACTGCCAAAACAAAAATGGTCAACTGTTTTTGCGATCTGTAAAGTACCAATCGGTTCAAACGATCGTTTATTTACAGTACTATGGAGAAAATTATTTGATCCCCAATGATAGCTTCGAACGCCAAGACGAAAATGGTCAACTGTTTTCGCGATCTATGAACGTACACGACAGAAATACGCATATACGTGTCAACGACGACGCTTTTTCAACATTGCCGTTCAACTTTAACGCCAACTTGTCGTGTATTAAAGATCGAATACCGGTCCAAAGAGAACAAGTCAAGTCGGCCGGTTGCAGCTTCCAGCTCAGCGAGCAGCCGCGAACTTTCACCGCGTCGAGCGTTGTCCTGCAGTTTGTACGCGTTTCGCGGTTTCATCTTGCTGCAATTGCATTTTACAGTCGGTCGATATCCTCCTGATCGGCGACGAACCGCGACTTGGCTGATCGAACACGTTCCATCCGCGATCAATCGTTTAATTTCGCTTTTCTTTTTCTCTGTTTAAGGATATGTTGCATCATCGCGTGCACGCTCGCGGACGATGCGCCTCGAAGCAAGGCCGTAACCGTCGAAGGTGCAGTGTCCTTTTTATTTATTTATTTATTTAACGAGATGTCCACTTTAGTCTGTACGATCGCTAAGATCTGACTTGTACGAGGGTGTTTCTTTGGTTTGTATCGTTAGGGTGTCTCAGAAAATACTGTTCATTTCAAAATGTTCATTTAGTAAATTATTATTCAAGTATGATAATCTATGGTTTTTAGTTGTTGTTCTGTTATTGTTACTTCGTCTATTGCTCAAAAAGTGCACCATTGCTCGTAAGAGGCGATGAAGCAACGTCTAGATTACACGCTGACTGAATTATAGTTTCGATTATGCAATTGCAAAAAATGTAAAGAAATGAATATTTTGATATTTTCCACTGATGCATTAAAATGCATTGTTTCGATAGACGGTTTGAAAGTAACAAGAAACACAGTAAAATTGTGCAATATTTTTTGAGACAGCCCAATATTATAAACTCGTGTAAATGCGTGTGAAGAAATTTTAGTTTCAATCTGTAAATACTATGCATAAAAGAGTGTGCGAGAAGAAATAAACACCGCTGTTGGGTTTGTTTACTGTGATAATTAACGTACGAAGTTGACGTAAATGTAGAAACGTTAAAGGAAATGCGAATTAGTATAAATAGACAGCCAGTTTTAGACTTTATAATTCTCATAGATACCGTTTGCAATTTCTCTGCGTTGTTTAAGAGTACACATGCAAATCGAGCGAGGGATTTGCGCATAATCATCGTTACATCTTGACATAATTAATACAACGCTGGGTGCGGCAAAATTTATGTTGAATTTCTTCCACTTGGGAATTACTAATGTCTTGTACATTAGTTTCTATGTACCCGGATCCTGAAGATGTTGAAAATATTGTTATTATTAACATCTAAAGTAACTTAAATACTTGTCGTAATAGTTGAACTTAACGTAGGAGTTTGTCATCCTACGCAAATAAATGATAAAAGTGATCCAGAAAGAATCCGCTATCGTAGGAAGTTGCAAATACATCGATACGATTAATTTGATCACGAAAGCCATAATGAGATAAAAGTTTAGTATTGTAATACTGGGACTCCTGAACGATCTAGGTAGAACGTAAAGTTTAATTGATTCTAAAAGAGGTGTGCTGTTGATCGAAGCGTTGATTACTAAGAAAGTAAGGTCAGCTATCAATCTACGTTCTTTGAGGGTTTTTCGATTAAATTGTATCAATATTGACACTACTATATCCAGAAATTTTCTCTCGCATTTTTCGATTTAATTTAATCCGTCAAATCGTTCTGCAATTTATTCACCATTCGTGTAACGTAAAATAATTTGTTAATCATAACCCGCGCAAACAGTATTGTTTTAATTAAAACGTCGCCAATTTTGCATTTTAGGTCATCATCGGTACAGTTTAAATTTGATAATCTACAAATGGAATTTGCCTCGTTTAACGCCAGTGTAGAGTAATTATAATGTATACATATATTGTACATATTTTAATTTCGATACTTTCATCTAATATTGCCAACGCCTCGTAAATATCACATGCATAATATTAATTTCGAAATTTGTACAAAGCATTATTTATTTTGTAGACTTAATTTTGGTGATTTTGATGACTTAAAATGGAAGGTCGAAAACTTCATAATTAAAAACGTAGTGTTGTAAATGTTTGTTACGATTATTACGATTTATGATTTACTTAATTTTAATAAAACAAGCTAATTGTAGGAATTTTCATTCTTGTAGTGGGTTGCCATGATGATTCAAGTATCTGAACTACAGTAAAGTTTTTTTTAAAGAATTTATATATATTAATAACGATTTTCTTCGCGTTGTACCAAATCTCTAAATTGTTTGAATACTACTGTAACGATTGAACGTCGAGTTTGAAATCGTCGACGTACACATATAACGAATAGTTACAATTATTAAGAATTTTGACGTCAATGATTGCTGAAAATGCAACAGTATTTTCAGACGGATGGCATTTATCTTGTCCTTTAACGTTTCTACGATCGTCAACTCTCTCCTTCAACCCCATCCCGGAAGAATACGCTTAATAACAATGAATGTTGTTCGTAGAATTCGTAACGTCACACAAATTGCCGGAGAGTATCGCGAGACCGTCGGAGTACGACGACAACGACGAGGACGAGGACGACGACGTTGTCGACGTGGAGAGGAAAGCGTTCACGAAGGACGGAAAGCACACGAAGAAAGTTATTCAACGGCTCGAAAGTTTCGATAAGAAGTCGGCCAATCTCGACCCCGTGAGACGTTTCGATTCCGGCGACGATGACAAAACGGACGGTAACCCCGCGAAGCGACAAGTTCGCGTCGAGCTCGAAAACTTTAGCGACACCGGCGTCCTCCAGGAGGCGGGAGTTCGAAGATCGGATTCGTACAGATCGCGGACGGAAAATCAGAGGGACTCCGTGATTCCTGGAGTCCACGTCAGGTAATAAACAATTGAAAGAGAAAAATCAATGATATCGAGTGCAATCGTAAAGCAAACTATTGTTGACAAGGGACGAATTACCCGACTCGAAGTTGCAGATCTTAGTACCTGAAAAGGTTAAAAAACAATAGACGGAACGTAGTATGTTTATTTTAAAAAGTAATTAGTCTCTCACTGATCGAACGTAAAAAATAGAAAATTTGTTACGACGAATATTGTAAACTCCGCTTAATTGTTACCAAACGGGTCCACTTGTTTACATTTATTCGGGGAACGTCCAACGAATAGAGATACATCGAGAATAAGCGAGATATAACAATAATCAACGATTGATCTGTAACTTCAAAGCGACGCTGCTGGTACATCGAGTATATCCATTACTAATTAGTAATTTAAAGCACGAGAACTGAAATTTTTATACTTATCACTATCGTCGTGAGAGTACAATAAATTGGCAAGGATTTCCCAATAAAAATGAATAGTACCTCGTTTAGGCTAATTTTCGTCGCAAAAACCTCGCCGATTCGTTTAGGATACTCTCTTAATCTCGCATAGTGACGAATCTGAGAATTTCAATTCGTATTAATCGATAAAATTCTATCCCAGGTGCGAGTGGACAGGTCGCACACACCAAGGAAACATAAACAGTGGTAGAGATGATTTCGTTACGTTTAAGCGGGTGACAATTAAGCGGGTGTTGATATACCGTTCGCAGAACGCGATGTTTCGGTTCTCGGAGGCAATGTTATCTCTAAAATGAACATTGAGGGATTGCGTTGCTCGAGTCTCGACTCCAACGGGGATCTAAGATCCCAACGTTTGAGGATTAGACCGCGGACAAATACGACTCAACATGCGATCCAACAGCTAAGTCGAGTGAACGATTTAGCCACTCGTGTTGCATGTTGCGTTTACCTTTGAACGCGGTCTTGAAAAACGGGAATAAATTTGCAATGTCTCGCTCCTCAGCGACGAATATCCAACTACCATGATCCCGGTGTTGACGACACCGCGCGAAGCTCGTGGCTTCGACTTCGTCCCCGTCAACATCATTCGCGACGATGGCAAGGAGACGTCGTTCCGCGATCGAAACTTCGGCGATTTCAGCGACGTCAGTTTAGTGCCAGCGGGCACGAACTCGCGAATCCAGGTGAGCAAACCTTAATTAAACGCGAGAACCTACGAGAAGGGTTAATCGGCATTTTAACGTTGAGATGTTTCGCTGCTGTTGCGACAGGTAAAGAAAGGGCCGAACGGGAAGGACTACGAATACGAGTACGTATATTATTACTATGACGAGGAGGATGAGAATAAGGCGGGTTCAACGGACTCGGCCGTCACCAATTCTTACGACGTTCCTTCTAGAACGACGTCCGCGCCTAGGCGCGGCGGATCGTCCAGCAACAACAAAAACAAGTACAGTAGCGCGGAAAGGTCGAGTACCGTGGAGCCTGCTAGCAACGAAGTAATACCGAATAGAAACGGGAACAGAGGCAGGCAATTGGTCGACGCCGAGGACGTCTCTGAGGAGAGACTCCCGACGAATACCAGATTTCCACCGAGGTGAGTGTCCTGGCCGCGTCCGTGACTCGTTTTCCTTCGCTTTTAACAGTAAACGGCGGCCATTACGGGTCGTTCGCGAGATTTTAGAGAGAAGAGATCGTCGATGGCTCGCAACCTTAACGCCTCTTACCGTCGAATCGAACACACTCTGGATAACTAAAACGAAATCATCCCCACCACTGTTTATATTTAGTCAAACCGAGGCGAGAGATGAGACACCCACATGCGAATTTTTTATATTCATCATTGTATTTTCGTCAGATTCAGATCGTATCCAGGTCCAGGTCCTTTTAGCTCTTAACACGTTTTTGGAGACGCAATTGAAAGATTAATTTTTCATCATTGAACCGAATAACATTTGCTCGAACCATTTTTCCCCATCGTACACAATACTGCACACTACCTTTGTCGCTTCTATGGAAATATGGTTAGACCTGGTACTGGTTAGACCAATCTTGGAATATGATTCTTACTACAATTCCTACATTCACTTGGCTGCTTCTTATAGTGTTGATCTTATGCCTATTCTCGTAATTACGATTACGTTCTAACCAAATTAAATTTGACCACGCTTGAACACCTCAGAAAAGTAACTGACTTACTCTTTGTTAACAGGGTAATGGTCTGATCTCGCGTTCGAATATCATTGAAATGTTTAGATTTAATGTTCCTTCCGGAATACTACATCGTTCTGAATTATTTCACATAGACCGCCATCGAACACTTTATGGCTTCTACAATCCTTATAATCATTTGTTCATTCACGCGAATACTGCACATGGTTTGATCGATGCTTTTAACCATTCAATTCTGTTCACAGTCAGTCTCCCCGTGAATAAATAAATAAATATGAAAAAACTTTACATCGACAGATCGCGATCGAACCACAACACGGGAACTACAGAACCGTCTCGAACGCGTGGAAATCGTCCCAGACCGAGTTTGGACCTCGTCGACTCCAGCAGTTTCCGTACGCACCAAGAGGGCCCGGAATTCCCTCAGGTTTTACCGAAGGGACCATTGAGATTTCTAGGAGTCACTCCGAACGAGGACACCGACGATAAAGCAACGACCAGAGGGCGCGGTAGGCCCCAGAGAGTTCAGGAACCAGCTCCCGTCGAAGAGGAAGTCGAGGACGCGCCAGCTCCCACGACCAGAAGGAGGCCACTGAGCACCCCCCCGCCTGAAGTAATCGATCCATCTTATCACGAAATACGGTATTCCCCGAATGGAAGAAACGATTTAACTCCGGTTCGATGAAACAAATTCATCCTTATTTCTTTACTCGGCGTAAGGGACCCGTGAACTCGTGCAAACAACAGCACACGAGATTTAATTCCATCCATTAATTAAATTTACCATTTTTATTATCGGTAATTGTATCTTTGCGAGAGCATTATCAACGGTTTGGCGATAATGAACCCAAACTCGTCCACGTTTAATGTATTTGTAATTACACGTTGTTCGAATTGTTTTGGCAAACTTTCAATCACGTGTAATTAATTACAGTCGGAACGAGGTCATGTTTGGCTTCGTTTTCATCGGGGAAACATGATCAAATTAAACCATGCGACTTTTATATACAAAATTTTTTCGTGCATCGAATATTTTGGAAGTTATCGAGCTGCACAAGTTACGTAGACCACCCTGTATATAGCAAAAACCATGAAAATATTAAATTTTCAGTAGCTGTTGTTCTATTTCGTTTACTCTTGATGCGTTCGGGCTATTGATTTAGTCAGCCTGTACAAACAGGGAGAAGATCGATTCTGAACAAAATTGTGTGTTATATGATGTTAGGTATGTTGATCAACGTATGGTCCCCGCGACTCGGCAAAATTTACTCGACATCGTCCGCATTCCTTTTACTGGTGGTACCACATTCCACTCATTCTGCAACCGATGTTTCTTTCTGTTTACAATACGTCTCAGTCTTGGTTTCCATCGATAAGCGAAAAAGGTCGAGTATTGGAATAAGAACACTGCCTCGAGTGGACCCAATCAGATTCGCCATACGTAAATTAAAGATATCAAATTTAAAATTAAAATTCAACACGTTTCGACTCAAGTTCGAGTCATTTTCAACCTAACGAAATAAAAATAGATACTGGGTGTTATCTCTAACGCGACGTACGATTTTTCAACCCCTTACAGCCATATGAACACTAAAAATGTCACTAAAAAAACTTCTTGTTAGCAACGTCCTATCGCAAGCTTTCCATATAGAATTCCAATTAGATTTTTTTCATTCGTGGACTACTTATGGTGCACAGAATAATATTTGCGAGCCTTTCTACGAGCGATACAATCACACACGCGTGTCTTTCAGGTTGAATCCGACTCGTCTAGCAGCGAATCTTCCGGAGAGAGCGACAAGGAAGACTCGTCTCCTCTGTCCCTAGATAAAGTCAAAGACAAATCGTCTTCTGAGTCGAAGCAAGACTCCGAGGAATTGGATTCCTCTTCGATTTCCGCGAGCACCGCCTCGTCTATTACCGACAATCCCACCACCGAATATCCGTCGTCGATGGACAAGGTCGCTCTAGATCTATACGCTTTCGTGCAGCAAGGTCAAAATAACCTGGTGGACGCGTCCAGCAGCGAATCGACCTTATCCTCGGACGGAACCACCCCCACGGACGACGAAACAACTACCGATCTCGCAAACTCGACGGAATTGTCAGCCACCACGGTGACCCTCGAACCCACTACCACGACCACTACCACGGAGCCGACGACCACCACAACTACGACCACCACTACGACCACCACCACGACCACAACCACGGAACCACCCACGACAACGACCCAGGCACCCGCTGGAAGAGGAAAGTTCCGAAGGCCAGGCATCGGAGGAACTTCGGGTACTCGAAATAGGCAAGTACCAAACGAACGTTAACGAATTTTACATATTCATGAATTACTCAAAAGTCGAACAAAAACATTTGTATTTCGGTGCGTAATACGTAACCAACGCATAGAAATATTCAACGTTTTCGGTAAAATTTAATAACGTTTTCCGCGAGCCAAATTTCGGACAACCTTTCAGCCCATAAGTTGCGTTTCCGTGACAGTAATAGTATTTGTTATTAGCTTTTACGATACAAAATTCACATCGTTGGTAACGTTTCTGAAACATTCTGATCACTAACTGCAACAGAGACTTTTCTGTATAGTTGGTACACACGTACTTTTTTTATGTATACATGTTTCACTTGCAGAACTTTTATAAAAACTTTTGACTGGTAACAGTCGAATTTAAAATATAATAACGGTTTATACTCTGTTTTGAAGCATACGAGATGGTTCCTCCATTGAATTTCACGTTCATAATCGTCTGGTTTAGATTCAAATCAAACGGAGGTGGTAGCACAACGACTACCGAGGCTTCCGCGGAACCGACGCAACGCACCCGAGGACGTTTCGGCGGGAACGGGTCGAACGGCGGTGGTTTCAAGAGACCTCGACCTGGCCACAAGCAACCCGTCGAAGAGGACGCGGTGCAGAAGGAGAGTTCGAGTTCCGTTCACGCGGAACGACCGTCCAGCACCACCCGCGGCAGGTTCCGAGGCACCGGTTCAACGAGATCGGCCGTCTCCACGACGCCGTCTTCCGTGTCCAACGGTGGCTCGACCGCCTCGTCCAACGGATTGTCCGGTATATCGAGGCCGTCGTTCAACAAACTGAACGGCAATCGGCGTCGCGTCAGACCCACCACCGCGACGCCGAACGCCAGCGAGGAGAGCCAAGAATCCACGCGTTCGGAAACGGCGAAGGAAACCTCGCAGGAACCGGTTACAGCTGCACCGAAATCGAACGTTCGTTCGAGGCTTCCTTCGCCCGGAGCGAGACCCGTCATTAAACCGGGTGGCGTTCGAGTGAATCTCAGACCGAAACCAGGTCAATCGACGACCACCACGACCACGACGATCCCGCTTCCGGCGGATGCCTCGGACGAGGCGTCTATCGATGAGCCAGCCGGAGAAGGAACGGAGGAGGAGACTCACGAGGTGAGGATTCCGCTTTAAACTAGCGATGGAACCGTTGTTTAACTCTTAAACCGTTTGTTGATCAACGATATAATGTATTTAACACTTTGAAATGAACTTGACTCGAGTTGAGATGCCGAGGGAAGTAAATTTTTGGTTATTTAGTTTACAATGGTCTGAAATTAAAATTTTGGTCTTGCTGAATATTGTACGGTTTTGATCTGGCAGTGAATGTGTTAAACGGTGATTTCTAAATATCACACGGTTTGCCACGAAACTTGTAAAGCTAATCGATCAAATTGCAGACTGACTATTCGTTAAGTTTTTGGAGTATATTTAATATTTGACGGTTTGGAGGAGAGAGGATGATTCTTGGACACTTGGTTCTCTAAAAAAATGACCTTAAAATTGCATCGAATACGCGTGTACTCGATTAAAGTTTGACGTAACGAATTTCGCTGTTGTGTGTTCTATACATGGTACACCGCAACAGCTTGTTCGTTATCAGGAAACGATCAATTGACTCGCGTACAAAAGAAACCGTACGAGTAGCCTGTAGCGGAATCCGTTACGCCATGTTTCAGTCATGTGCACGCGTACTCAATCAACGTTCGAAGTTATTCTTTTTTTCGGAAAACGAAACCTCGTATAAAAGGAATTTGACCCATCAGCCGGAGACTGATTTTACATCTAACCACACAGGCACTTGGACAATTAAACGCGAAGCAAAACGAATCGATGGATATTGATGTATGTGAAAACAGTTATATGAAATATTGTCTCGTGAAAAATTTAACGTTTAATGGACTTTCCTAGAAAATATTGCTTGGTTTTACATACCACATTACCTACTACAATTTTTAACCCTTCAGTGAATTATTGGGGGCCGCTACATTATTATTTAATATATGTCAATGTAATTATTTGAAAATTTATGTAATCCTCCATTAGTTCATTATTTTTTGAATGCTTCAAAGGAAAGTTGATTTCCATTTATCAATTTGGTGAAAATCAACATTAAGTAAAATAATTCAGTTGAGATTGTGAGTCCACTTAAGGGTTAAACTATCTACCAAAACAAAGTATAATATATATATTTTATTATAAAATGTTTTGGACTCTGTTGTTCGAGTCATTAAATATTTTCACAAGCTTCCCAGAGCAATATACACCGATTCAGAAAGTAAAGTGCGACACAGCCCGTGCAACGACGTCATAATAATCGAATATTCGATGCAGCGGTAAAGGAAATTCCTCGGTTCAATTATCTCGGTAGACGAGTCTCACAATTAGAGGCGGCAGATCGTTCGTCAAAGTTCCCTCCTCGCTTTCACCGAATGGCCTTTCGCGAAATGTCACGGGGCCCGGCATACTCTGGCTCGCGACCACTTTTCGTGTTTCGAGTCACGGAACGCGACGAGCCAATCCCCGCTTACGCGATAAACCGTAATTTTTCTGTCCAGGCCCCCGCTGAAACCAGCCCGCCGCCGACGCGTTCGACCACGGTGAACCCTCTGAACAAATTACGCAACAGAAACAGACTGCAGGTCCATCCGAAAACGACCACCAGGTCGCCGGTGCCTTTGGCGTCCAGAAGGTCGCCGTTGCTGCCGCGTCGCAAAGTGACCGAGTCGCCGGTTCAACAGACCAGCCAGGAGGAGGGGTCGGAGGAACCGGAAACCTCCGGCGAGACGGAAACCACCGAGGCGACATCCGCGGAGACCAGCACGGCCGCGAGCACGCGACACGAGGAGACCAGAGGGCTCGGGGGACTTTTGGCGCCCAGGCGCAGGATAGCGCCGCGACGCCCCGGGCAGATCGTGCCCCGTGAATAAACCTGAGACCTGCGCTTCCCGCGAACGAGGACTCGGTGCACGAGGATGAACAAAAAACAAAAACTTCCATCCATCGAGACACTTGGCGAGAATCCTCATCGCGACGAGATCCAAGACGACTCGGGTGACTCAGAACACGGCTTGACGAGTCGATGATGGCGTTATAGAAATCATAGATACGAGAGAGTCTCGTCGGAGATGGAAACGTAACGGCCGATCGACGGGAGCGTGATAGATAAAAAGAAAACTCGGTGGAATTGAGTTTCGCGACAGATATATGTACGTTTCAGGGCGGCTGATCCTCAAATAATTGACGAACCTTGTTAAATTACGCTCCAAAGTACCGTTGCAAGTCCATCGAGAACGAACGATCGTAACGTTGAATGACGGAGGGAGGGGGGAGGTCGGAACGTGCTATTATTATTATGTTTTCCGAATTCAGGCACGAGATAACGCGTATGTACACATTTCCTATTATGCGAACGCAAACTAAAAAGTCGATGTACATAGTAAATTTCTTTGCAACGATCCACGGATATTATCGCGATGGTCGAAATCGTAACCGTCGGCGCGCACCCAACGATTTCGTTTTCGAATTTTCAAGACAACGTGCGCGAGAACCGCAATTGGAAACGACAATACGATTCGTCATCTTTATTTAATAGCTAAGCGACGACGACCACGGAAAGTCACAGCACTATGCCATTGCTGAAGCGATCGACGATACGTATCCCCTCGAGTTGCGTACTTATACAGCCAAGTACGACATGTGTCGTATCGTAATAATAATTTTGTAATTACAATGTTCCACGATACACTGTAAATAAGATATTGCAATTAAACGTATGTAAAATTAACAGCAGCGTCCATTTATTCGTCCAACGTGGCTAAAACCTACAGTTTAAAATTTCCTAGTGCATCCCTTCCTACATTAAATTTTCATGAAGAGCGCGCATAAAATATTATACGAGCCAGCTTGCAGCCAGTTTGCTCATATTATTTACCATATAATTATTAATTATTATACTATGATGTTGCCTGCGATATAATTACTAATTACGTAGTAAATAATATCGATTATTCAGGTCTCTTTACGTGGAAATTATTGTCTATAGAGATCCACAAAATCATATATCTTTTGTCCATATTCTTTAAACGTATGTTTACAAAATGCTCATCGTTATTCAAAGATCCATCACTGGAAAGACTTCGTAGAAATACCAACTCAATATTAATTATTCCTACTTAATTGAGCGGACGTATTTGAATATAAATAACATTTTTAACGTAATGGCTAATGCGCATAATTCAACACTGTATCGTTTTCTCTTCGTGTAAGCTCCCTGGGTGGTGAGTCATTATTCACAACATTAATTGATAAAATATGACACGAGGAAGCTCTCGAGTACAGCCATGCAGAGCGCTTCATTATTCACAAAATTAATAAAATAACGCGCACTTATGTTAAATAATGCGCGACGCTAACTCTAATAACTCAATGTAACTACATCGAGCTGGCGGAAATCACAGTTTGTAACTGTTATTTTGGACCAAGAATCAAATTTTTAATGTTTCATATGTTGGAACACTGAATGAAAATAGATATAATATCGCAACATTAATTCAAGCCAACGCGATAAATATTCATTGTATGCAACAATAAAGGCAATTGCTATTAGTGGTCATTTGCCACACTAACCTCCGAGTAAATACGAATAATATTCATAATTGGCGAATTTTAAAACCAATCACGATCAATGCTTATTATTCTCAACGCTATTCTCGGACAGCGAACGCGAGTAGTACTTACATTTCATCACGCTAAATGTAATCGCGATCATACTATTTACAACGCTGTCTTGGAAGCAAACGCGATTAGCATTCATATTTTACGACGGTAATACAAACCGCGATATGTCCAATAAAGCTGAATAAGGGGCCAATATGTTGTGGTACGTGTAATGGATAAGAGGCTAACATATTGTAGGTGCATAACATCAACCGAGGAACGAACAAAGTACTTCTACTACAGGCGAGTACAGTGATAAAGTAGTAACAGGAATGACTCCCCATCCGAAGACGGAGAGCCATTTGTTGCAACCCTCTCTCGAGACTATTTGTCCAGGCCTTTTCGGCATGTGACACCCTCTTTTTTTTAGGAGACTCCTTCCAAAATAAAACTTAAGCATAAACTCGGGATTCCAGTGCATTACGCGAACGATCAACGATTTTAGCTTACGATTTTATTTACGAATGATTTATTATCTTCACACATCTTGAGAATTCGGGGGTATGTGTATTCACCAAAAATTATTGTAATTGATCCCTGTAACCAAAAATAATTTCAAATCGTTTTAAAAAAATTATTTTTGATTGCGGAGATCAATTACAGTAATTTTTGGTTAATACACATACTCCCGATATTCTACGCACTTTTGAAAAAAAAATTCTTTACCGAAAATATAATACGTGGCCAGGAATGTTTCTCTAATTTCATTTTCTGTCTCATTTCCTCTTGTGTTCATTTGTGTAACCTGTTGGTAATGTTGCGAGTGGCACGAAAATGGTAATGTGGTTCCAGAGCCCCAGAAAAATGGATTATTTATCTAACATAAGAATCTTTGTTTTCCTTCGAAAATTGCAACTAACTTTACTTTTGGAGTAGCATGAATAATACATTTACAAATTTGAATACACATTTGAATACACAGGTGTATTTTAAAATATGCAAACTACCTATGAATATTTTATTTCTATCGTATAATAAATTATTATTAATGCAAATTATTTGCAATTTTAACTGGACAAAGAAACGTGAATAATTTGTAATTGCACCGCCATATATGAGAGGTGTAAGGTTTTCTCGTACATCTCGTCTGTGTATTTATATAACTTGCAATGTTTATAACTATGTTTATAAACTCACAATGGAATGAATAATCGATGAATGTTAACAATGAAATCTTCATTATCAACTGTACAAGAGTAAATGGCACAGGTAGTACTTCGTACAGTCAACGTGCGGTTCGTGACAAGCAGAATAAGGTGAACTACAAATAGAAGTAATATTCAGCAAAGATGGTGAGACACGAACAACTAGTCAAGCGCTTGTAATGATTTAATGTCTAAATTTGTAGTGAGTAATCTGCCTCGTTGCGACCAATATGTGAGTGAGGATTCATAAGTTTGCAGCTGTTAGGAATAAGTGCACTTCAATTTGAAGAGTGGGACAAAAGTCGCGAAAAACGAAGGTACGGCAGGATGCTTTGTTTATGGAGATCAGCTGTGTTACCAAACATTCGTATCGCTTTCGCTGCTGCGTCTACGACGCTTCTATTTTCGGCGAATAAAGGTCAGCCTAAAGCAAAGACAAAGCGACGTTCGACGCTCGACGCACGAACGATACGTCGTAAGCTGGACATTTTTAATATATCCAATGAGTCTACTAGATTTCAAAAAAATATATATACATATATAAAGCGAAACACATCCTCCTATCAAAGTCGATTTAATTTTTTGTCATTTGTTGACCGACTTAGTTCTTGATCCATTTCATCCAGCTATTATAAATATTATTCGTACGTCGTGTTTCGTATTTTTCGAAATTATCGATGTACTTAATATTGTGAGTAATGCGTTATTTGTACGACGTTGCGAACAATCTTTCAGTGATTTTCATATGGTAATTTCGTATGCATGTATTTTTCAAAGTGCGTTTTAAACCATATTGATTTAGAAAGTATATTTGAAAATATTAATTTCATACATACACAGAGAAAACAAGTAGATGAGAATAACCCATCGATGGATTTGTAATCGATTGGGAAACATCTCTATTTAATCTGCAGATAAGAATAACAAAAGAGTTTTTTATGATCCGAAGAAAACATAGACAAAGAAGGGTTTGCAAAAGTTTTGTTTTTCCTAACTGTAATTAAGGTGTAATAGATCGACTCGTAGATATATCCAATTATATCTTAAATTGCATCAGTGAATTCATATAGTGGTTGTTTATGTTTTAGATGCTTATAGAGCAACCATCAACCGGTAGTTAATTAATCTTAATGACATGAAAGAATGAAACGAGAAACTGTCATTACCTGTGTAGAGCCAAACCGACGAGCAAAAACAGTAAGTCTATGTTTTAGAAGGTTTTCTATAATCTATGCATTAATTGCACTTCCAATTTATTGTCATCGATGGCAAATAGTAGTTTCAATTGGATATTTATGAAATGTAGAAATCAAAAAATTTTAAAATAGACTGCGTTTGTAGATGACAACGGTATTGGATGGCAGCTATCAACGCATGGAGCCATATGAAGGTGAGGAGGAAGAGGGGGAAGATGACGATCATGAAGAAACACCTCAGGAGTCTGGTGTTATGATTCATGTAGTACCAGAAGGGAACAAAGCTAGATGGAATCACATAGAGGATCTGGATTCTTTTTTTACAAGAATGTACCATTATCACCAAAAGCATGGATTCCTCTGTATGATGTTACAAGAAATGCTGGAATTAGGACAATTCATTTTTGTAGTTACATTTTCAACTTTTCTCTTTCATTGCATCGATTACTCCGTGCTATTTAAGTAAGGTTTTGCCGAAAATGTGATACAAGTAGTGCTAGGAATGATTACTCATTGAAACGCAATTCGTTTATATTTTAGGAATAAAGTAACCAATAGCACCTCGCACAAAACGTCGATAAGCGACGCCATATTATCAACTAGCGAGTGTACAGCGTCTATGAATGTGATCACATGGACTTGTATTTTAGTAGCCGCAATATTTTGGATCTTACGTTTGGTGAAAGTTTTGTACCATCTCACGCAATTTTGGGATATAAAGCAATTTTTTAATACCGCTCTCAAAATCGATGATTGCGATTTAGATAATTTGACCTGGCACGAAGTTCAAAAACGTGTCAGAGAAGTACAGAAAGAACAAGAAATGTGTATTCACAAAAGAGAGCTTACCGAATTAGATATGTACCATAGAATATTAAGATTTAAAAATTACATGGTGGCTATGATTAATAAATCCTTGCTACCTGTACGACTCAAAGTCCCTATTATTGGAGAAGTTATTTTCATGACAAGAGGATTAAAATACAATATGGAATTACTTCTATTTTGTAAGCTTTTAGACATTCAGATACGCATCGATTAAAAATAATTATCGCTCCTCACAGTCAACTGTTTTCACATAGGGGGCCCGTGGTCTCCGTTTGAAAACAATTGGCACCTCAAAGGAGATTACAAAAAGCTGAACAAAAGACAGGAACTTGCAAGAACGCTGTCCAAACATATCTTATGGGTTGGAATAGCGAACTTCCTATTTTGTCCATTAATTCTACTGTGGCAGATACTTTATTCCTTTTTTAATTACGGAGAGGTGAGTACTTGAATCTTTTTCCAACAAATATCTCACTCGTTATTATTAACGCGTTGACTGTCACTCTATTTTTGCTTAACTTTCCATTCGTACCAGTCGATACCGTAAATAGCGTGACAGTTAACGTATTAATCGTCACAGGTATAATCAGATCGGAAATAATCTCTGTTTCGATCATAGATCATCAAGCGAGAGCCAGGAACTCTAGGTTCGAGAACGTGGTCTTTGTATGGTAGATTGTATCTTCGACACTTCAATGAACTCGATCATGAATTGAACGCGCGGTTAAATCGTGCGTACCGTCCAGCTTCAAAATACATGAGTATATTTACATCCCCTATTATGACTGTTATTGCAAAGAACGTTACTTTCGTGGCTGGAAGTATATTAGCAGTTTTATTAATGTTGACTGTATATGATGAAGATGTGCTAACAGTGGAACACGTGTTGACTACCATGACCATACTAGGTGCAATGGTCGCAGGAGCAAGGGCATTTATACCCGATGAAAATTTAGTTTGGTGTCCAGAGACTCTTTTAACCGCTGTCCTAGCGCATACACACTATAGACCGGATAGCTGGCGTGGCCATGCTCATACTCAAACCACGAGAGCGCAAGTGGCACAACTGTTTCAGTATCGTGCAGTTCATCTTTTAGAAGAATTAATTTCTCCTCTACTTACACCATTCATTTTATGCTTCCATATGAGGCAGCGGGCCATAGATATCGTCGATTTTTATCGAAACTTTACGATCGAAGTTACAGGAGTAGGCGACGTTTGTAGCTTCGCGCAAATGGACGTGCGAAAACACGGAAATCCAATGTGGCAAACAGTGACACAAAGCCCTGTCGAAGATCACAGTACCGGATATGATAATCGGTATGGCGTAGACCCGGAAACACTTCATATTCCTACGTCAAATCAGTACACGCAAGCAGAAGACGGAAAAACAGAATTATCCCTGATACATTTTACTTTAACAAATCCCGAGTGGGAACTGCCGAATCACGCTGAAAATTTTATATTCGCTTTAAGAGAAAGAGCTAAGAAAGACGGGAGTAGTGTAATAAATCCCTTTTTGTCAAGTTTAAGTAGGTTGTCTGGTCTGGGACCTGGTGTAAGTATCGTGTCAAAGAAGAAGTCTCGATGAGATATATAAAATTTAATTTTTCTTTTTCTTGCCATTTCAGTACAATGACATAGTATCGAACACCATTCGAAGCACAATGGTGAATCAATTAAGCATGCCAAATGCGAACAACGTATTCGCGAATCAACCTGGTACTTCGACTGCTTCGGTTGCGGCACATAACTCGTTGAATACCAAGTCGGACTTTTTATCGCATGCGGTTCGACGTAATTTAAGGAAAGCAGAGGGTCCAGCATACAATGATAAAGGATTTTTTTTTGGATTGCAACAAGGAATATCCAATCAATCGCTAGGTGCTTCTGTCTTTGGATCAGGCTACGAATTGTCTACAGATTTGTCTGTACCAGTGGAATTTACTGCTGCCGATATATCTTTGTCTACGTTGTACCTGCATGAACTTCATCACATACAAGTACGATGCTTGACATTACTTCATTCAACAAACAATTTCTATTCTTGATATCAAAGCAACTGGTAAATATTGCGTTTATTAAAATTACAGATTAAAAGGAGAGGCTATCAAGACGTGGCCACGAGAAGTATATGGCAACGAAGCCCTGTTCAAGAGCTTGCTACGCTTCCCGAAGTCAGACAAGAAAGAGCTCCGTTGCTGTTACATCAAGACTGCTCTATAAGAAACAGTCAATAATCGAAATATTACTTGAACGCTCATTTGAATGGCATCTGAATAATTCGTGCAGTGATATCATCACCTTTAAGAGAATAAAATGTTTTTATCCGCTTTACAATTATATGACGACCTCGTGATTTATTTTACTATCAAGAGTATAGCACCAACGTTTAAGAATCTGTGTTATCGATGTAAATACAATATCGAAATGTTGCTTGACTAGACTCGCGTAGAACGGTCAGCTATTTCGAAGAATGCCTATTCTAACGTCGACGGCCTAAATACAAATATATTTTATGCGAGAAACGTCTACGTTTATGAGCAAAAAATTCTCAGAATATTGGTTTTGGATAACGTTAGCATTAGCACTATGGAAACCATCTATCGTAAAAATCGAAACTAATCCTTCCTGCCTGAAATTTACAATGCAAAATTGCTTTCTTTCGAAACGTTATTTATGCGTTGCAAAAGGTGAACGAGCTATGTAAATTTTATAGGGCACAACTGAAAAGGGATATTCTTGCGTTTAATTGTAAAATACGAATCTTTATATATGGTAATGTCAACTTTAGTTTCCAACGCCACGATTTTCTAGTCATGAAATTAATCGCGCGCCATAGCATAAACGATTATTTATTTGTTAAATGTAATTACTCGATAAACACGGTGGATGGACGTTAACAGTTAAGGCACGCGAGAAATCGTCTGTACATACGCGAATTTCCATATTCTTCACACTAACATGGTGCAGCTAGCGACCTCGAGAGCAAATTTTATTCTACTTGAAAAACTTGCGAATTATCACGAGGCATAAGTTAGGAACGATTTAGCTCGTGTTTATTCTTTGTTATACGCAACTTTCGTTGTGCAATAACTCGTATAATTGCCGATTTTTATCGGCATTAAGCGACTACGACTCATACCTTAATGATTTTTAAACAAAGTAACGCGTAACAAAAATAAATAAGAACCTAGTTTTTGCTAGGAAAATCTTGTATCTACATGATTCTATGAAGAGGACTATTATTATTATTAATAATAATTTAAGGGTTATCTGTAATTTATCATTATGGCAAATAAATACGTTTCATAATAAACTTGCAAAATTTTTTGTTCAGATGTGCAGAAAGATCTGAACATGTCGTTTTAAATACAATTCTCTCCGCGGTTTAGCAAATGAGCATCTAAACATATAATATGACTGAGAAACAAATGGTAGTATTTGTAAAGTATGAACACTCACCAGGGCTACAGAAATTCATTGGCAGATTCGATGTCAGGGGATGCGACGAAGTATAATCTGCGATGTAATCGAAACATCAGTGAAAAGATGACGAAGAAGGATTTCGTGTACGACATCCGTCCACCGATTCAAAGTTCTAGAAAGGTAAGTTGTGCTAGTCTTCATTCTTGCTCGTTGCCTTTCTTCTTACGTATTTATGAAATTTGTACAAAGCACTTCCTCTTGCTTGTTTTAATCGCGAATTTGTATAAAGATCAGCCGAAATGAATAACGCTGACAAATACGTATGTATGTAGTAATAGGAATGGAACATTTGAAACGAAGCTCACGATACCGGTACAAGAAATTAACATGGCGTCACGTATACCCGCGAAAAATTTATGGTGAATAGCGAAACGAATCTCATGAAATTTAGTAAATCACGTCAAATTTGTGATACGAGAGATCTTAACTTATTTAAAAACTAAGCCCGCACTTTTATTTCTATTTTACGAGAAAGATAAGAACCTATATTGGAACGTTTGAAACGAAAACGGTGCTCTTGAAATGCCTAGCTTGAACGAACTGTCCATATTGCGAATGCGCAGTAAGTACCAGACCTACGATTGGGTAGAATGAGTTTCGCAATATGGATTCTACCAATCACGAGCCAGAACACAGTTCGCGCCTTTCGTGTATCTCGTAGCATGCCAAAATCGTTTGAGTTGACACTGAATGTACTTGTGTAAATAAAATTAATTAATTTGAAGTCGTTTTTACTCGTGTATAATTTTTTACAAATATTTTATGCAATAATTAATTTAAATTCATTACATTCTTATGTTCCTTTAACTATCGGAACTCGCACTACTTTCTGCGTGACGTGTGTATTACTCCGCGTTAAATGTAAAAGACCGCGGGAGTTTTCAAATAACATTATTTGAAATATTACATATTTCACTAATAAATAGTAGTTTAATTCTTCAACCGATAACTTATTTTAATCTTAAATATTACGAAATTGTTAACGGAGTAACAATATTTCATGCAATTTAGTAAAAATAATTTTACATAATAATAAATTTATATATAATCTTTTTAAATTAAAACTTCAATAGTTATTTAACATTGAAAGACCTACTCTTAACGAAACATTTTTTAGTTTTAATAACATAAAATGAAAATAAATAACAAAATTAAAGAAAACAGTATATCTACGAATGTACTTTCAAAATTCAAAGTATATAAAGAATTTATAGAAAATATTCTATAATTTCATTAGATTTTTAAATCTCGAAATAAAATTTGAGGAATATAATTTTACATAATTAAACTTTTCAAAAATATGAGAAGAAATTTTCGATACTTTTTACTCTGTAACATGGTTGTCCCTCTTAAATGTATCTCACTCGCTCTTACAGTTTTCATTCTCGTTTCTGATACGTACAAAAGCAAACGACCCGTATAACGACGGCTAATGTGTTTAAAATGTTCCGATACAGTTTCGATCTGAGACATTATGCGTTATATTACTGTACGTCTTTTCACGCATCTACGAAGTGTGGTTGTTTTTCCTCTGACAATGAGAATCAGTGTTTTGCTACAAATACGTAGAATAAATAAAAAACGTAATTCCAGTTGGAAGAAGGTAAATTGCCAATCGTATTACCGCTACAGCTGCGACGTAAACAAAGTCTCGACTCGAAAATACCACAGTACACGGTGATTTCGGAAAAGAACAACTACAGAAGTAGCGGCGACGCCACGAACGTAAGTAATTTTGTTGCAATTACAGCAGTTATTAATGAGTGAAATTGTATGTGTAAGTAAATTTCCAAGGGTCCAAGTGTCAGTTATTTTTCATTCGTTCTTTTCCTCTATTATGTATGATGTCAATGTTTATGCTTACACAAGTATTTAACGTTCTCACAATAGATAAGGAATAGGTTTAAAAAGACATCGTATATACTTTTGTACAGTCGCGCTATTTTCCCAAGATCAATCTAAACAGGCGAACGTTTGAATGTTAGCTTTCAGAGCAGCGACCATTGGGATTCGAGTGCAATTTCTGTCACGAGCAAATTGCCACTTTGCTATCGCTATCGACACACGTCAAGTTTCATCGTCGAAGATATTGCAAGTACTGTTACTGGATACTGTTGGAGAACGAAACGATGGACGATCACATCGAAAGTGTACACCCAATCGATTTAGGAATTACAACGAACGTCTAACGTGTGTGTTGGCTTCTGTGCCAAGATTTCAGTGTACCAATCTACCGATTTCCTGTTTAATGTCCCGAAAATAAGTTGACACTAAGCAACGGTGATTTTTTCTTTTCTCTTTCTTTCAAAATTGTCACTTATTATCGATCGAAATGTTTACAACTGCAATTCTTATAATTCAATTATCCGATAATGTTTGAAAAGTACGCCCGGTAAAAAATTGCACGTTTATGCTCTGGGATGATTACGGATTATACGTTATTCCATTCGATAATGTTATCAATTTCCTAGCGAATACTGCGCGTTTCTATACGATATGCGTTGAATACCTGTAACGTGCTTTTATTATTAAACATTTTAATTACGTACTCGTGAAAGTATCCACCGAAATATCTATGAAAATAAAATGTAATTAAAATATGTATATGCGTAAGCAACGAGATTCGACTAAAAATGCTGTTATAAGATAAGTAATAAATGAAATGGAGACAATCTAGAGACAGTAATAACCATGAAATAAAGACTTTCGTGGCACTTTTGCATGAGATTTTGTTGGAGAGTTACGTATATTGGAAGGATAGGATATTCTAATAAAATGCAGATGTAAATGTGAGGATATCGTGGTCAAGTATCGATCGTAATTTGTACTTAGTCTGCATCCGCAAAGCCGATTAGCTCTCGTTGACTGTATATCCAAATTTCGACAGCTCATTTAACAGTCTTAGTTGAAATCGCGTTTGTCTTGTTAAATAAAGGCTAACAGATGACCGGGGCAAACGAAATTCCACAAACTAATCATTGTCGATAACGTCGCAAAACATTTAGTAGAATTGTTACGAGTAAAAGTATCCAAATAATTTATGAATAAAATTTTACATTTCGTATATGCGTATTTATTTTGTCTGAAAAAAAATCTTATTAGTTTGATCAATTTTTATTCTTTATTATCTATTCTTTAACAACGTTGTGGAACACATATTTCGTACTCATGCCTTAAATACTCTACGATGAAATTGTTTAAAGCCAAGAACGATCGTGTTTTTCAAAGGCTGCAATGGGTATTACAAAACAAAATTTGTATTGGCCAGTGTAATTTTAACAACTCTTTGTAAACATAAAATGGACAAAGGGAGTCGAAGAGCTGGGATGTTTTCTTGGGATGAATTATTATTTTTGATCATGATACATCGGATGGAAAATCGATTCGAAAAGAACGATATTACGTACTTGAGCAGCTCAAGGGACTAGAACTACGCGAAAGCAATAAGTCGTTCTGTAGCACGAGACAGGTATATCGGAATGTTATTGAATCTCGATAAAAGGCTGAATCGAATTGGATCCACGCCACATTTGAAGGCTGTACAGACACGTGTAACATACTGTCTTGGCTTTCGTGGCAGTCGTACGCATTTTCATTGGTTTCGGTGCGGTTCATAGGTTTGGGGCGACGACCTTCAAGACAGCTTCGACGTTCTTCGAACAGTTCACGCAAGCAATGGTTCGTCCACGAAGCTGCAGATCGTTGCCCAACAGTTTCAGGTTCTAGAAGATAACAATCGTTTTGACATAGAAAACATTTTGTCTTACGAGTAAATTATTATTAATTTAAACTTAAAAAATTCACCGAACAACTTCTATTTCTAAAAGTTTACAGTTTCGTTCGATTCCTGCGCGTTACACCTATTGGAAAGCATTGGTTTAGTTGAACGAGATGTCGGTACTTAAATACCTTTGCGACCGTAACGTCGATCCTCTTTAAGTTCTTACAGTCAAGGAGAACATTGCACTGATTCTTTTCCGTTAGCTTCATAATGGTAGCTCGGAAGGTCTCCGCTGCTGGAAAGGCAACAGACTCTTCAGGCGTAACTCGTATCACGGTTTCATCTCCTACCTGTGCAAAGAACAGTTCTTCACAGGCGTACATCGAAAGATAACGACACTTTAAACGTACACTCACGGGCGAAAGTTAAGAAACTTTAGATTTACTCGAGTTGTCGTAAGGAATTCTAAATGAAATTACAGTCCAATTTGGAACGAGCACCAGAGGAGCGACAAATATTCCTCGTTATAATTAACATTCGCTATATCAATGATAAATAAATCACGAATTTTATAATTTTAATATTGTACATGGATTTTACCTTTCAAAATTTATAAAATGCAATTAGTTTTTTGTTATTTATGGATCTATTAATTACTACTGAAAGTAAATAGGTCACTCAACCTACAGATTGCTAGATGTCTTTGTAAAACTTGTAAACTTTAGAAGGATTCAATTTGCTGGGCTTCAGACTAGAGGCATTATGCAATGGAAAATTAATTATAGTTTGCAAAGGACATACTCAATCATTCGCTTCTAACATGGTCGCGAAGGTTGGACGAACAATTACGCGTAATTCATCGAAGAGGACAAGTGTACAAATTATACGGTAAGTTACAACCAGAAAATGAAAGGTGGATTATGTTACAAAATACCATGAAGATTCACGAATCTTCAACTTCGACACGATATCGTAGAAAAACACTTTCTTTTTGTCTGAATACTTTGACAAACTTTTATTTCTTGTAAACTATTGTTTATTTTTCATTTTAAAAATCACGTATCCACGAAGAAATGCAAGTGTTATTTAAATGTATCGTAAGATAAAAAAATGTTTGATTTCGCGGCCATCGAATAATAAAAATTAATTACCACGATAAATCACGAACATGTGGTTTCTACTATGGCCCACTGTATTAAAATTAGTCGATTCAATGCCACGTGTCGAGTTGAGATATTTGTCCCTTAGAGATATACTCACAACGAAACAAAATTTGTCCATACTATCATAGAGGCTTCCAATTGGTAGGATGACATTGGTGATGTATATTCTACCGGTTGGGAGTTGAAACGTCATACATACACACGTGATAGTGGAGGCAAAGTGACGCCGAGTATATTCTCCAGGGGACAGTAGTACTCCAGCTTGGGACGCTAAATGCCAAGCTGTTATTAAAGCAAAGAGCTCATTGATATCACACTACCACGATACGAATAGCATGGGACCGTCTATGTTCTTAAATAATGAAACTAGTAACATTTACGAAGTTCTGCGTAATGTTATATAACATGTTTCTTAACTTTTGGGTAGACTTTTATCGCGAAGATGGGTAAAATTCCCGTCTGAGTAACAAATTTCGAATAATAAATAGAAGATTAACAACTTTCGATCCTCCGTTTGTTCAATAAAAATTACAAGCCAAATTATACAAATTACGTACGTTTCACTTTGAACGAATAACATTTCATCCGAATAACTGTTGCGATTAAATCGTTGTACGGAGTTTCTGTTCGCGTTCTATTGTTTGAATAGAATTCTGCCCATCTCTGGCGTATTGGAAATAACGAAACAGAATGGAGGATTCTCATTGAATACCTGCTCGGTCGCGGTGTCGACGGAGGGTCGTGTGGAGAAGTACAATAATAGCAGTAGATTCAAGCCAATGCCAATAATGATTCCCCATTCCAGTTTTAGGAACACGCAAAATAGTAGAGTAATAATCATCAAGAGGAAGTCAGTCTCTGGAAGATAACCACGTTTCTGAATGGCATTAACATTCGAGGAAACATCTTCAAACATTCATATACGCGAAAGTATTAGAAAATGTTTGAAAGACATCTTTTAACTTTTCTTAAGTCGTTCATTCAGTTTCTTTTAACCCAATTAAAACAACAGTAAATCTATATCGATCTGTGGAGGGTTAAACAAAGAATTGCATTGTAGCGGTCAAATATTAAATGTTTACTCACTCTTGGCACGCCACAACAAAGCGAATGTCGTGAAATCGATCAAATAGTACATGGCGCTGATAATAATTCCGGCTAACGTGGCTTTCGGAATAAAACGAAAAGTAGTGGTCAACAGACCGACCGCGAGCAGCACCAGACAACCTGAAAATAACAACCATAATTTTCGGGATAATCGATAGAGACGAGAAACAGCGAAATTAAAAAGAACAGAAAATGTTTCTTCGTTCTTCAATAATGTTGCATAGAGAAAATAGATTTACAATTAGTACGAACACGCTTATCGTGTTTACATTATCTGCACAGTGCCACGAGGCGCGAAACGAGGTTTGTCTCGCCATTTGGTAACCAACATATTAAACAGGAGAGAATGTAATCATAAATTTACATTTTCACTCACCCGTAAACAAGCCTCCGAATGTTGTTTTGACCCCGGATGTATGATTGACGGCCGTTCGGGTAAATGAACCAGTAACTGGCATCGATCGAACGAAGGATCCAAAGACGTTGCACACTCCCAACGCGAACATTTCTTGCGTAGCGTCCAAAGTTTTTCCCATCGCTAAACTCAAATCGCATCGTTTAACTATTTTTTTATCAAATCAACTGAGTTGTTCGAGCTTCGATAAATGCACGGTAGAAAAATCTCGTCACAAATGATTAAGACTTTTGGGAGAATCACGAATAAAACTCCATTCCGGATTCCATTTTTTTCGATCCATTCGTGTGTATTTTTGAAATGCGTGACAATCAAATCCTTTTGTTCGGTAAAATACGAATTCGATAAAAACACTGACGTAACGAGAACAATAGCGTGCAACAAGAAAAGAAGAACAGTGATTTACAATAGGAATCTAATTTCTCCGCTTTATCAGAAAGCTGTTGGAAACATTTTAACCGTTCGAAACGCACCGAAGCTGTTCAAAAGAATAGCATGTCAGGAAAGAACCCATAGTATCGTACAAGAATTTCTATTATACACGAGCAGCTTGAAAAAGGTGAGCGGCTTGGAAGAAGCGAGATCAGTGTTTACATTCGAGATTCTCGAAAGAATCGGGTTCTCGGTTTGCATTCGGGATTCTCACAAGAATCGAGATCCTGCTTTACATTCGAAGCTCATTTCGACTTACACTTCTGGCTACCCGTATGTTCTGAGATATCGTATTCATGGTGAAACAAATATAGCGATCTCGTATGAACTGCAGGGTGCCAAGGCTGTAGCATCTCTGACTGCAGCGCGTTAAAAATTCAGGGGCTGATTTAGTAATTTTGTTTTCAACGCCAAAGCTCTAAGGATATTCTTAATTTTGCGTTGTCGCAAATTTACAAATCCTGAGATTACGGTCCTAAAATTTCAAGAGGAAATTCGAAACTGTGATAAAAATAAAACGTTTCCTCCGGAGCGTGTTCCAGCCTCGTCAGTTTTGCGTCCCAGACTGATCGATCCTCGTTAAACTCTAAACGCAGTCTTCACGAAATCGAATTTTTCAAACTTGCGTTTAACTCTTCTCGGAAACTATTTATCGACTTGGCTTTAATTTAACATTATACAAACCCAGCAGAATGCTTTAGCTTTTATTTTAATGGCGAACTTGTAAATATTATTCTCAATCAAAGTAATATATGCGCAGAGCACATATTTGATATCCAACAGTAATAAAACGGAACGTTCTAGTTATTTCTAATTACATTCAACCGTTCTTCGAATCAAACTTTTTCAGTAATTTGTCACGGTAAATATTTATGGTATTTATTTACAAAATTGTTCCTTGTTATTAAAGCTACAGAAGAAATAAAAATAACTATTTTGTGACTAAATTCTGTAAAAAAAATTTAAAGCTAAGCGATTAAGAGCTTCAGCGTTGGTACAGGCAGTTTGTCAGAGACGAGCAATATGTATTTTGTTGAATGATTCAGTGCATTCGAGATCGTTAAATTATTAAATTATGTGCATTATTAACAAGTATGAATCTTATAGCAAACAGACTGCAATCGCAAAGGGAAAATGTATCCAACGGTTTATAAACATCAAGGGTGCCGCTTATCAGGTTTCTCGGAACGATTTACGTAAGTAACTCGCTAGATTTGTTTCGCTAGCTGTGTAGATCAAACGTGGAGCGTACCAAAAGCTTTCGCTATCGCCATGTGCTCGATCGTAGATACCACTGGAACGGAAAAAAGCGTTGTTCCCATCGACGATATCGTTTCTAGGAAATCGTACGTACGATTGTTGGCAGTGATAGAGAAGGGTGGTGGGCCGAACGGTGGTAACCCTTCACCCATCGTTCCTAAAAATCGTTACAACTCTGTTTCATCAATTCTCGACAATTAACGACGGCGCAGAACGGAATTTTCTGTGTCGATATAATCTCACCAGTTAGCTTAAAGGGTTCTTGTCCGTTCAGTTTAAAAATGTACGCCATGGTAGCTCCTGCGACAACCACTAAAGCGTTACGCGCTAGAGTAAGGGCCCATGCAATCTTTTGCTGCCACGTGCCATTTCGACGCCCAGGTAAATTCTTGTGGCAAATTTAATAGAAACATTAGACGACCGGAAGTATCACGATGTAAGAGAAACGTTAACGTTGCTCGCCAAAAATTGAGTAGTCGATCGTGATTAACGTTTTTAAAACTCTGCTCCTTCGTTGGTTGCACCATTCATTGGTTGCTTCTTTCGTTGGTTGCACTTTCGATTGTTTCTTCTTCGATCAACGATCGTTGGTCACAGAAGATCTTTATTAATGGAGGGTGGTTAGGATTCGGTTAGGGCGGGTCTCCATTCGCAGCAACCTCCACGTGGTGAGACTTGGGTAATATTATTTAGCGTTTAATTAATAATCGTACCACTCTTAGCTGCGTAATGCAATTATTAATTAAAAACTAAATAATATTAGCTACTTGGCTGCGATCCCCCTTGCATAGGTCATCATAAATATAGAGCTTCTTCACTAGGTTAGTTTTGATTCTCATTGATTCATCAAAGATTCTAGAGTATTGTCAGAGACGAGGTATACGAGTAGATCTTTCACCCAATGTATTTTTTAGGCCCATTTTTCTGGGCTCTCGAAACCCCATTACCATTTTCGTCTCACTCGCAACATTACCAACAGATTTAGAAATGAATTTCAATCCCTTCCCGATACACTGCAGCTATCTGCCCTAGTTTAATTATTTCCCGTTTTCCCAAGATCTTTCAACGTGCATAGAGCGTAAAACATTTTTGGGCCGATTCGGTTAATCTTATGACCGCGATTACTCGATTAAAGAGATAGTACAATACCTTGAGCAAAGCTAAGACGATTATCGTTCCGAGGCTCAGCACCGTGTCTTGATATCTGACTTTATCGAGATTCGAAAACATCTTATATAAGGCGTCCACGAGATCTTCGCTTCTAATGGATATTCCCAATAACGGGTTGAACTGCGAGGCGGCTATGTTGATCGCCGCTGCCGTCGTGAAGCCCGCGATCACGGGCAACGAAATGAAATCTAACAGAAAACCTGAAATCCACGGTTCGCGACGATATTCGTTTCGTCGATCGATAATAAATCTGTCGATTGAATCCACTCACCCAAGTGAAGCAGACCGAGCGCCGCGATGATGCAGCCTTTCAAAAAGGAAAGTAACACAACTATATCGGGACCGTAATTCGTCACCAATGGCTGCACCATTGTTGCCATGATAGCTGTAGGTCCGATGGTAATGCTGTCGCATGAACCGAAGATAATGTATACGAACGAAGCCATGAACGACGCGTACAACCCATACTGACAACAAAGCACAAGAAGTTTCGTCTAACTTACTACGAATAATAATTATTATTATTAATTATTGTCAGGTTATTAATCAAATCTGATTTAGTCAAATTGTATCTTCGAAACAGTGACGATAAAAAATGTTTCAGTCGAGAAGTTCAATGGTTTCATAGGTGTACATAACATATAAACATTATTTTTTTTAATGGAACATATGTACATACCTACGATAAATATATGTGTAATCGTGTTTTTATTTTTATTTACGAATTAAAATAAAGTTCTGTTTTTCGAGATTTTTTAGTTTTTGGTACCGGTGAAAATTACCACCACTGCCAGTTATATAACGATTAATCAACTAGGTTAAGCGTGATGAGTAAAGGTTCATAATTATGGTCAAGTATAGACATATGTTGACCTAATCTGCAAGCTGCTACCCTCAGAAACTTATGTGGCACTCTCTCCAAGAGTATGATATATTTCGATGTCGAGAGAGACCATATAGTCGGTTCATGTTCCAAGTAGAGACTTGCTAATGCTAGGTGTAGCATTTTAAGACAGTATTACTCAAACCTCGATTTTACCCCCTTTGACCTATTATGCACCAGCGTTTTATTCGAAGAACAAATTTTGAATGTAAATAGAATTGATTCATTTTTTTCCCTTTCTAAAACTAGCATGTTATAAATATAAAACTGGTAAAGTCCGTGCCTATACATTTATATTAAATTTTAATTGATGATTGGATCGAAGAATAATGTATAGATTTTCTTTAGCCCGATGACAAGTACATTTAAGCTTCCTACATATATGGTCACTTCATGAATCACTGAATTTTTTTAGATTTACGACTCGAGAGTCGAATAATCGTTGTTTCTCTCGTACTTACCTCTGGACTCAATCCAGCCACGATACCGTAAGCAATACCTTGAGGAATGGCGGTCAGGCCGACCGTGAAACCTGCCAGCGCGTCTTGAGGCAACCATGCGAGTTCATAGGCCGTCGACCACGCGAGAACCGGTAGCTTTTGTTTCACGTACTTACAGCAAGTGTCTTTGTTGCACCAAGACACTTGAAATACAAAAACACAAGCGATTTTGTTAATTTCCAAGAGAGACTCGTGAGTATCGTTTCGCGTGACTGACGTATCGAGGGTTGAAAGAAAATTGAATTACAATACAAAAAAAAATCTGTGCGTGACAGTAGGAATGAACCATTATCAATTATTTCGATGGTTTATAGGGATTTGAAACACTTACTTTGGATGGTAAAATCGTAAGATATAAATGTCTAATTATTCGTTCCTAAAAAATCGACTAAATTGCTCACTATCGTTTGTAAATATAAGCTTCACTCGTGTATGCGCCTGTTTTTTTTTAAGAGGTATGGCACAAAAATACGTTGGTATTAAAAGTATAAATAGAGTAAACGGGAAGTAAAGCCAAAAATGATACGTTTGATACTCAACCAGTTGTTCTCATCGAAAGAGAGGAAAAACAAATTCAGTCGGTATTAGAGTGGCCTAAAAACTACTGTGTATTTCAGTTATTTCATTTTTCTGTTATTTTTAAATCGCCCATTAAAATAAAAAACTACGAAGTTCTATTTCAAAAAAAGGTGCAACTGCATTTTCCAGGTGTATGAATGAATGAAAAATGCATGAAATTATTTACAGATTATATTTAAATTATGAGCACTTTTATCCATTTTTAATCGCTTTTTAGATACAGCTTCTCCCGACTGCGATATCCTATACAATAATCCGCTTAACATTGAAAGAATGTGATTGAGAAAGTAAAGTGGTTCGTAAAAATCCATGCATAAATAAAGTAAATCACTGGGAAATATCAATATTTGTCGAACAGTTTGTTTATGCGGAGCAACAGTAAACGATGTCACATTTGCAGACCCAAGTAAATTCAATGTTTCTGGATCCGATAGACGAAACCGAGAACTTGAAACAAACATTTCCAAATTAACGAACTTGGACGACTCGAGAGTACATTACAACTCCAAAAGTGAGCGAACCAATTTATCATTTAAGCTATTGGCGTAAATGTCTCTAAACCAAAATTTTTTTCTATTTAATCAAAAATCAAAAACGAAACAACAAAATTAAAAATCTACGTCGATACTAACTTCTCATTGATGTCACTATTACTTCCCACTCCTATCTCAAAATATTTGATCCGTTACTATTTGAATTTACTCTTCAACGAATAATTGAACAACCACAAAACTCACTTTTCTCTTGGATCATGGTCCTCACTTTTTGAGACATTCTTAAAACTGTTGTATACCGACGCGAAGCACGAACGAACGGTTTCTCCTCGAAACGCCTTAAATTATTTGTTGCACGCGTTCACAGATAAGATCGCGTCGTTTGTACCATATTTTCGACCGTCTTGCGAAACGATAATCTTTTCTCTCGTACGAGCAGCGAAATCGACATCGCGGGAAACGCTTAGACCACTGTGCGCTGTCGTTGCAACTCGACGCGGGCACGCATCGTAGCGTCAGATTTCGAAACAATTCGAAAACGCTTTAAACCGTCGACGCGATACAAACAGGAGGTGAGCTCTGCACGAGTCACGGATTCGATTCTCTCGACTTTCCGGTTTAACGAAGATCGTGGCTCCGTATACACTCGATAAATCGTTGAAGCACCGAAGCCTCGCCGGTACGTATTTATCAACGCCGCCCCACTTCGATCCGCCTCGACGGCTCAGTGTAATCGTAACGATGGATGCCAATAGCATTCGAGCGATTTCATCCGAGATTTAACCCATCGACCTCGAGGGGGGCACGCTACTTTGGAGATACCGAAGACGAAGGAGCTAGGTACTTCGTTTGGGGACATTTTTACCACAACGTTTGTCTCTATCCGCACAAATACGGTCGTGGAAACAATTGAGAGGTCAGGCAACGGAAATATAGTTATCAACAAAGTTCAAGTCGAATTGTTTCTTTGGGATTTTTTTACAGTTGTGGAGAAAATTGAAGTTTAGTCGAATTTGTGCGTGGATTATTTAATGAATAATTTAAATCAACGGTTCAGAGGGCAGCGTTTCGTCCTTTTCGGTTGTTACTTAAGCTTTGGACAAGGAAAACCTTTTAAGAGACACCAACGATATGTCAGAAAGAATGTATACAAAATATTTATTATACAATACTGTAAAAAATTTGAGCGTACAAATTGCTAGACTGGGCAAAATGTTTTTGCGTTTGCGTTAGTTTTCTGTAGAAATATAAGGTGGATTTAATGCCGTGCTTGTTTATTAATACGGAATTTGATTTTTTGTAATTTCAAGGATTAGTACTAATCGCAAGAGAGTATCGAAGGAGTGTTTGTCCGCTCGATTATCGTCACCTATTATCTTAGTGATTGAAAGTGTTATCTTGATTCTTGATGAAATGTTCTATTCAAGAGGATACGTGTAGATCAAAGTCGTAGCAAAACATTATTTACATCCTCTTACTCACCTCTTTATGGTGTGAATTCAATAATATAATAATGGCAAAACCTTAACAGTCTTGTTCCACATATCGAGAACGCAATTACCTTCGTGTATTCCATTGTCAAAGGTTTATTGTTCCTCGATAATAAGACAGATTATCGGTGTACCTGATCGAAATTGACCAGGCAGGGTGAAATTGTATCAAGAGATATTTGTGTATCGTTCGAGCCAGGGTTTTTGAAAGTATATTGTTCGATCATATAGAACAGATACTACAAATTTTGTTAACAATATAAAATCTCTTGTAAAAAGACAACGGAACAGAAAATGCATTTAATACCAATAAAAGCAGAAATTTAAAAATTAAAAAATGTCTAATTAACAGAGGACGTCGCTACAATGTAACGTGGCCATTTTTTAACATTTTAACTGCCACGTCATCCGTATATGGGTGGCAGGATTTTTTATTATGGAACTAAAGCAATTAATTATCAAGTTGAAATGTTGAAGGAGATAAATTTTAATAGGATTCATGAATTTTAGTTAGGTTACAATTGTATAAAGTCAAAGTTTTGGCTTCTAAAAAATATTACGGTTTAGCAGTCAACGTGTTAACGAAATTATATAAAATTTTTTAAAGTCTTCATGTCTTTAAAAAGTCTTTTTGGATCCAACGATCGGATCACGGAATTCACACCTTAATTAGTATTTCTGCAGCGTTTCGGTAATTTATCCGTACTAATATCCTTGTAAATTATCTTAATTGCAGCTTCAACGTATTCCTATATCGAATTCTTGTCTCGTGTACGAATTTGGGTTGCCCACAATCACTTGCAACAGTACGATAGTCCCAGGCTTATATGTTGCAGCTGCTCGATACTACGATCGTGACTTAGTAGCTAATAGCACTGATTACGAAAGTTTCCGAAGTTTTGAAAAACAATTACATAGTCAATTTATGTCATGAACAAACAAATTGTATATGTGTACACGCGACTTATTCCATACAATAGTTGGTTTACATTCTACGCAAATCAATAACTGTGCAATCATACATCTTCATGTAGGCGCCATGTATACTATACGACAAGCAACAAATTAACGTACATAGTTGCACAGTACCTGTTAATTACGTACGACATTAATAAGGACCCAGCCTTAGAATGCCAGAACAATTTGATCACAAATCGTCCAGGGAAACGAAACTTTGTTTTCAATAGTCCTGTCTAGATTTATTTTCTTTAACATCCAATCTTGAGAGTTAATTTTTTTAGCTCTTTAGTGAAAAGTCACATCGCCCATTTTACTATATGACGTTTTCTTTTTTCGTGCTTTTACCATTAAATTTTCACACAACAGACGAGGCAGTCAATGCGTTAAGATGACGAATGCAGTGATTTACACTTTCGATATCGCAGCAGAAAGACGGTTATTAATTCAAGAAGCATCGATTCGCGAATTGAAACGAGATCGTGCTGTATAAGAAAACGTTCCCCTTGTCCCATTGGCATTTTCAAGACGAAAAGGAACCGACGGAAGTGGATGTAACGCCTGCGCGAAACCCGGATATCTCGGACTGCTCACGGGCTGGCGACTATGAATGAAAGCTCGAACCTCGAACCTCGAAGCTTTCAGTATCGCGCGGGACAGCGACGGCGTCGTTGCTACCACACTTTGCCACGTTCCGGGACAGTTATATCTCGCAGTACCATCGGTACTGCAATTCAATCTTTAATTAAAAAAAAAAAAAAAACAAACTTCCATCCGTTGACTTTACTTTACAATATCAAACGAAAGCTATTTTAAAGACTGTGATGTCCAGTACCTTCTCCCTGCAATCACCACGAAAACAATTAACGTTTTCCAAACTTCACACATTTTCTTTGTCGTTCACGGTGATCTACGACTGTATTATTCTCCTCCCCTGTAAAAATGTTACGAGACGTATAAAGAAAATTTCTTAATTTAATTTTGACTTTATAATAATATTTCAATAATGCATATTGGTGGGGCAGTGTCGAACAGTTAAACCGTAAAAATAAAGAATGTAGAAACAGGTTAAGTAATCGCAAATATACACAAGTATTCGAATCCGTCGATTGGTAATTACGTAGGCGTATATCTGTACCAGCACCGTCGGAAAAGGTTGAATTATAAATCGCTTTTCGCGGCCGAAATTGCTGCCGCGCTTGAATCAAGAGATTTAATCGATTAAAAATGAAAAGCATACGCGGAGTCGATTGTACGTCCGCGGTTTCGGACAATTCAATCCCGATGAAACGCGACCTAATTACATAAACGGTGTGTCGCGATAAGAAAAGAAATATTTGTTCATTCGCGTTAAAGCGTCGAAAAATGTTAACGAACAAACACTCGACGAGAAAGAAAACTTTAACGTTTCGCTCTTTGTAACCGTTCTACGTTTTAAACTTCGATAGTTTTGTAATTTTTCTTTGGGTGTGCTACGACGGACGGCGATTTGTGTGCACGATGTTGTAAGAAACGAAGCTTACTGTGAGAACCTTGTCGAAAGTTAGAAGATACCCTATGCGGCAGTAAGGCTTCTTTAGCCAAGAAACGTCCAGGTAAGACGACAATACATTTTCCTCGGTGCAGGCGTATAGTGTGTGGGACAAGCGCTGTAGTGAAATTTTTAAAAAGAGGAGGTGCACTCGAGCGCAGAACGTAACAAGTTTTGTGTTGTCCAGCTGAAATTTTAAAGGGATGTACTCGTGTGAAAGTCTAAAAAAAATTTCTTTTGTCGCCTTTTAACCCTATGAGAATTCCTAGGTCTGATAATATACATTTTCGGATTGTCTATAGTTTAAATTTACCATAACTATCTTGACAGTTTGTAAATTTTCGAAAAATAAAGAAACGTATTTTAATTTATTACTCAAGGAGCGAGTCGCATTTTAACCCTATAAGGATTTCTGGCTCTGACAACATACATTATTAGATTGTCTGTACTTTTAATTTACTATAACTAACTTGATAGTAAATTTTCGACTAAAAAAAAAACGCATTTTAATGTATTACTCGAGTAAATAACATAGTATTAGCATCAAAATGAATTTTTAATAAATTTCGTTATTTCTGCCATGTTTTCACGAAAACATTTTATTTTATTTTCACAGTAGAAATAAGTAAAAATGCGCAGAATATTTTTTGCAGCGATATTCCCTTTTCATAAATATTACAAATTCGCGGAACGCAGACGTGATGAAATTTAAATGCGAGAGAAGTCTCGAACGAATCCAGAAATCAAACTTTCCGGAAGTCATCGTAAGGTTAGATTCCATAGAGCCCTAGAAATATTATTCAGAAGGATTTATGCGAAAATTTAGAAAGTAAGGAAGACGTACTTTATGGATACGCGTACTAGGAGTGAAACGACAATCGAGCAGGTATATTGCCGTTCAAAAGTCTCGGAAGAGTTATTACGTTTCACATACGTCCGAGAAAAATTAGAAACGTGAAATGTGAAGGAAGTAACCAATTTATTATTCGATAGGATGATTACACATTACGCCGAGTACGCTACACGTTCCAATATTTTAAAAAGCCTTCCAGAAAATAAAACTATATTTATGTATATCTTTCTCTTATCGATGCAACATCAACTACCCCTACAAGTTCTTGGAACCTCTAACCAAATGCATAGTGATCCAAATTTTTGTAAAAAAGTATACATTTATATATGTAACAATAAAACGTGAATCTCCTTTTAATTTCAATGAGTTATAATAATTTCAGTTATTCGATTTTTCGTACTTTCAATTTTTCCTGTTAAAATGTTGTGCTTTGTACCTCGATCCAGATTGTTACAATTGCACTTTTTAACTTGGATGTGGTGTGATATTATTTGTTATGAATGCGGACTGTTTGAACAATAATATTCCACATGTTTTCAATCGGATTTTGGTCCGGATAACATGCTAGCAATTTTAACGCATCAACGTGTGCTATTATTACTTGAATGGTATGAACAGCGGCTTTGTCTTGACAGAATGATCAATCTACTTCTCTGTTTTCATTAATAAACGGTGACAAATAATTATTAAATATTCCATTGACTCTGAGCATTCATTCTTGTCGTCGAATTACCGCCACCATAGTTTCATATTAATAAACACAAGATTTAATTATGCAGCATTGTCGCTTATTTTTTAAACAAGATCACGACCGCTAGGTACATTAAATCCTCTATTAACTATTAATAGCTTGCCAATAATTTACAGAATTGCCCTGCATAATTATTAAAATTTAGTTTGTATAATATGAGAAAAAGAAAAAAATAATGTACTTTATTTCATCTACGGGGAAAAAGAATTATGCAAAGGAAAATATAATTTAACAGACTTGACGAAGGAGATTATAAATTGATCACACATTGGACGACATATTCTATAAAATTTCAGTAGTTTTGCCGTAACAGTTATCACAAATAACAATGTAATGTTTAATTTATACTATACTACTACTGTACAGTGGGTCAGATTTCACTCTTCTACTTTGCACAACTTGTATCGCGCATATTTTTCAGACACTTTTCGCTCTTCCCAGAAGACTTGTTCCAGAAACTGAATTTGTGTTAGGTCAACATCTGACGTTGCAAACTTACTACGGTTTTATGCAACTTTTACGGAGAGATTCATAAGTTCAGCTCTGATATCAATTTCTGGCTAGAAATCCGACTAAATTTTTAGAGAAATTGTTTTTGCAAAACTATATTACTGACATTCAATGTTTATGAAAGATCAGCTCTGAAAGCAATCGAGAGTTCTACCGGGTTAAACGTTTTTGTCTGCTTCTGCTAGGCTTTCAGCTGAGCAAAAACAACTCGACTCCACATTCTACTCGCTCATTAGTACCACGTTAGCTTTAATACGAGACAGATTATCTGTTCTCCCTAAGACAGCAGTGGGTTAAAATTACCAAAAAAGGAAGTTTCTGGACAAAAAAGTAAAGCTCAATCTAGCTTAATGTCATATCCATTAAGTCTACGACAGCTGCGTGAACTTTTGTGATACGAATGGTAGCACGGGACGGCCGTTCCTTCCAAATGGTTTTTAAGTATCCGACTCTACGCACAGAATGGATTTTATGTATAATTATTTAAACAGGCATACCTTATTAATCTGACGAATTTCATTTTTTAATTTTTTTATTTTATCATCTGCGCTGCACTGCTATATTATACAAAAATTGTTACCATATGGGCATATGAGTTTTTCAGTAAAACATAAATTTTATTTATTTTTTACCGGTCCATTCGTACGTGCTTCAAAGGCAAGTACATTTTTATCTTCGTGCAAGCTACTTCAAGCATCTGTTTACTCGGTTCATACTCTGTGTTTCATTGTAATATTTTACACATATATTCCGGACAAAAACAAACAAAAATTCTTTTCTCCTGAGACAAGTGAACATCCTCTTAAGCTTTCCAGTAGGAAACGACACGTTTTGGCGACTTGCACATAACAAGGTTATCGTTTAACGAATCCGTTCGAGTATACTTGAACTATGTTGCTGTACTTGTTCCACACGCTATACTATAAATTCCACTATGGGCAACTTAATTCGATAAATGTATATACCAGACTCGGAGCAACCGTCCGTGACGGGAATGAACATTCGAGAACGGTGGGCTTAATTGAATTTTAAATAAAATTTACGGTTTGCTTTGCGCGGCAACGTGAAGAGCATAATTACGATGCGAAAACGGATGCTGCTTGACTATTGCGGTAATTAATCAGTCCAGGATTCGCTAAATTTCTTATTCCGATTCTTCGAGCGTGTTATTCGCGATAAAAGATCGAATCAATTAATTAGTTAGGATCAAAATCCATTGCCACCGACCAAGATGAAATCTTAATCACCCCAGATTCGAAATTGCGAGCTTTAATCTTATGGAGAATATCCAGGGAGAAATCATCGGGTTATTTAAGGATCGATCGAAACTTAAAGCACGTGAGCATATTTTCTGACGTAAGGGATTAACCTAACTGACACGATATCGATAATAGAGTACTTTTCTGGGGTTTTTAAAAGGCTTAACCAACGATAAACTTTCATACGTGACAGATATATCGAAGATCGATCATAGAACGCGATTTAAATTTTTCATGTAAATATGTTTATTCAAAACTGATATCTGAGTCTGAATCTGAAGCCTCCGAGATATTGAACACGTGTTTTCCATGAAATCGTAATAACGATAGCAGTCTCTCAGCGACTACGAACGTTGTTCTACGTGCGTTCGTTAAAGACACCGTGAACAATGCGTGATAAATAATAGGTGTCGATCCGTTTAGACAAGCTGGACACCAGTGAACGTTTACGATTGATAGCACGAAGGCACGTATGTACACCCTTGTACGCGTGCAACCATGTCAAATTATTCAACGATTCGCTACGATAATTGCGATCGAGCGTTACACCTAACGCAGTTAACAACCAATCTGAACTCGAAACCTTTATAAAACTAGAACAGTAAAGAATCGATAAATTAAACCGATTAATTTGACAAAGGAATTGAACAAGAAAAAATATTGGAAGATTCTTTGTCAATGGTGAAAGGCTAAAATAGAAACGAATTAAATCCTTATTCTAAGTTTAAATTCATGTATAATATTTCCGTTTTACAGAATGATCGACGACCGCGAGGCAATCGTTTACGATACCTATGACAACAAAAGCTTCGTCGACAACGAAACTTTTCTGTACAATATATCCTCGAACGAGGATTACATATTCGACAGGACCGGTGTAAAGGTGATCTTTATTACGCTCTACACCATCGTCTTCGTCTCATGTTTTTTCGGTAAGTTCAACAACTTAATTCAATTATACGCATCCTTTGACTTTAATTCGACAACCTACCTGTCGGAATAGTTTTTTCAACAATGTTGAATGAATTATCATTCTACGCTGTAAAGACAATATCGAATCTTGTAACGTGAATAGCAAATCACAGAAACGCAGAATCTGTTATGGTTTATTCGCAACTACTTCACTGATACGCAACGTTTTTATTTGGAAATTTCGTAGAATATTTTTACTGTAGAAAAATATAAATAATTTAAACATTTCTTTCTGTTAATGGATACGGTGGGCGGACGTAATTTTGACAACGTTGCTGCTAATTTAGTTGTCACGCCTTGTATATTAGCTTCAAATTTCATAGAAGCAGTCGCAACTACGTGTTATTTATACGTACAGACGCGAGAGGAAAGTGAACGCAATAAAAGCCGGCCTAACGTCTCGAGTCGATTGCACCACGTAACATATATCTACTCACTGATGTACGAACGAGTCGATATTTGAATTCGCGAATATCGAGCCAATACGGTTCGATTGTTTCACCTGGATCCCGTTTGGATGGTCTCGTATTCTTTTTTATAACGTAGAATAAAGCGTTAAAGAATTGAAAAGTTCGTCGATTCGCTTTAAAACAAATAGAGTAGGCGGACAAAGATCCGTTGAACATACACTCGGGAAATTGGTTGGTAAAAATTTATTTAATCGAGGTCCAAGCACGTACTAATTTTGATTAAAATTTAAACAAATGAAAATTCAACGGACACAGTTATTTGTTTTGAAGTCTTACAATAGAAGGAAGAGCAATAAATGCAGACGATAGACCACTTTATGACACTTTCGTAGCTGTTATTTGTTTACTCCAGTTACTGTGTAACTTCAATACGTTCATGACCGAATCTGTTTTTAAGTAGTTATCCCTTCGCGTGGGCAGCCCACGTAGCTGAGCATTCCTTGCAACGTGTACAAAATTGAAAGTGTCGTTACAAACCACTTTTATTATAACAAATTACAAAATTTTAATCGAAAAGACGTAAAGTACGCTATTAAATTCGAGTAAAAATGAAAACTTTGTTTTTAGAATCTCATACCGATATTTTACTAAACGCTTCAACGTTATTTTGTAACTGAAATTGTAAACGTTTCCCGGAAGAATTAAATTTTATTTTCTCGTGTTTAATTAAAACAAAGTCTATCAAAGCAGAAACAAGTCTTTACCTTGTACTATAAATTACGTAAAACATTTTATGGAAGTATGAATTTTATTACACGGTATTTTAGCAGTTGATCCGACTACATAAGCTTACGCACGAGCTGCTGTTTTGTCGTTCAAATGCATAGCAATTGATTCGATTGCAAGAGGCGTGTTGCAACCAGCCACTTGCGTTTGAAATTAAAGAACGTAACGTTAAATCGTAACGTATGAAATTGCTGTTTCCATAGCTCAACGTAAAAACATTCGATTTTCGAAAAATAAGATTTTAACCGATTAAAATACCGAACGAAAAAAAACAAAGTCAATGAAAAGAAACTGATCACTTTTAGCGGACTAGGTCGAAATGAAGTGTGAGCTCTAAGGAGTCAAACGATGTTATAAATTACACCGATAAATCCGTTCGAATAGCTGGATCTGAAATCGAAGGAAAAAGTATAGGAGCCCTTCGATTGGAAAGTGAGAAGAAGAAATATATCGTTGGTAGACGTATTAAAGGATGTACTTGGGACCAAATTGGAAGCAGTCGCGCCAACACAAGGACCTAGTTCGTAATTTGGTCAATGCCTAAGCGCATTACAGGTCGTAATTTATGCTAAAGAAGATTCAGTTAGTAGCTAAAGGAGACACTTAGAATGTTACACGGATACAGTGAAGCAACCTAGTCCAAAAATTTATGGCTCTTTCGGTTGTCATTTGCAGATGCGTCAAAATACGATTAAACATTTCTATTTTATTTTTAATTTTATTTTTAGCTTCTTTTACGGTAATTGATTTTTCACGGCAACAAGAATTATTTACTATTAATTTTTTATTTGCTTCGGTATGGAGTTCATCAAATTTTTCAAGCTGTCGTGCCTGACGCTATTTTACCTCGTTTAAATAGCTTCCTCCAGATCGTGGACGAAGGAATATTGACTTTCATTGTCGTAAATTCCTCGCGCCATTAGTCTCCACACATTTTTGATCGTGTTACTATCGTACGATATCGTCTGGCTACTTTAATGTAAGCATATTCGTGCTTTCAGCCACGATTTTGTTGACTGCTGCATTCAATTGCCGGATTATCCGTGCATGTGCATCAGATATGCAGCTTTAAAACGATGGAAATAAGGTTGCATGTGTTTCCAGAACTGCTTCGTAATCGACCTTCCACAATCGATGAGATATTACAGTAAGACTGACTTTGTCGAAACCATTGAATGCAGTCCAAATCATAATACAGCCATCGACGAAGTTTCCCTTCGAAAATAAACGTGGACGATCGAAATTAAATACTCAAACAGCGAAACAGCTAATAAATTAGAAGCAATCGTTATTAACCATGAAACGATTTTACTCAAAATATATTTGAATGATAAATATATTTTATTGAAATCCACTCAACCGTTTAAATGAAATTGGAATTCTGTGGAAAGAAGAACTTATAAATGAAAGTCTACATATACGATAAAAAGAATTAAACTTTCCTTTCTTAAAATATGTTTTTCGAGAAAAACAATGTTTTCTAAATTCTTTTGGATTGGAATACTGTTCTCTCTTATTGACTGGACAGTAAAATGTTACCTTTGACTTCGGAGATGGCTCTCTAAGGATTTGGACTGTTCTCGGTGGTTTGGGTAAAGTCGAACTAACTGTAATATCCCATCGATCGAATAAGCTCGATTACAAAGCCATTTTGGAAAACCATTTACAACCTAATTTCCATCGTTTCGAAGCTACGAATCTAGAGTTCGAGCGCAAATAATGCGACAATTAAAACAAGCAAGTCAACAAAATCGTGGGTGGAAGAAGCGGTTATCCCAGCATTAGAGCAACCAGAGTGATATCGACTGACATTAACTAGATCGAAAATGTGTGGGGACTAATGGCGCGAAGAATTTACGATAATGAACGCCAGTATTCGTCCACCCAATAGCTGGAACAGGCTATTCGAAGCCCGGGAAACGATGTTGGACATGACACCAAAAAGAAGTCGATCAATTCGATGCACAAATTAACGAAAATGTTCAGTAATACCTTAAAGATGCTTACTAATCTTTTTCTTTATACTTTGTTACTTTTTTTACAAATTTTGTTTAGTTACATAGTAAAAATGGCCTGAAATTTCCAGGAAAAGTAATGTGTAAAATTTGTAAAATTAATTTGTATTCTTCTCAAATTATTATTTTTCGAAACAGAAAAGTTTCGTTCTTCACAGAGAGCTTCAAAGGGAGAAGAAGGTAATTCTTTTAAAAAAGGTTTGACTTTACTACTAAAATTATATTTCGAATTTTTTCTTTACTCTACCCACTTGTCTAATTCTTATACATATATTCCTTACCATGATCGTACGTCGTGAAATCGTTACGAAGTTGCGGATTGTTGTTTGAAAGTTGTGAGAGTTAACTTCCATTCTACCTCTTAATTAACCTTCGTCACTCAGAGAATTATACGACTTGTCTTTTACACTAGCCTGTAATTGGCAGAATTATTTTCTGGTTGGAAGTGATAAGGGTAAAATTTCGAAAGTTAAATTTAGAAAGACCGAAAAGCTAGCTCATCAAGTCCACGTTTTAAGAATTTTTAATTGGAAAGCGACCTGCAAACATAAATGTAATTTTAATAGTAAGCGTAATATAAATGCAATTTTTTTTAGCGAAGAAAAGTAAACGACTCGATAAACGAATAAAATTGGAGAGAAGAACGCCATTATGAATACTACATAGCACGATGGATAGCTTCATTAATCCTGATCAATCTTCAATTTGTCAAATATCAGCAATTTCATATGCACGACTTATTAAAAGAATGCGAATCATTGATCCGCAGTTATTTGACGATACAAGAGCGAGTCACAGGCAGTACAGCCATTTTATCAACACGTTCAATTTATAGAAATTCATCGGTAAAGTAAAAAAGCAGCTTGAAACAATTTCATGAAAATTCATTGCTTTTATCATACGATTTCTCTTCTGGAATAATTGGGAATAATACAAAATTGATTTTGCGTTACGGTTGAACGACTTTGTTTACACACATTCTTTTAACATCTTTTTTAATTTCCCAATGTTCTTTGTTAAGTCCAACAGAAGCTCTACTGCTAACGAAAATATAATTATCTTCCTGCTCCCCTTTTACTTGGAAGTTTTTCTATTATTCCAGACTGATTTAATTTACCATGAGTGATAACTGCAAACTACACAAGAGCACCGTAATAATTATACCAACAAAAAATAATTTTGGTATAAAATGATATCTGAAACATAACGAATTAATAACTTGTTGATTAAAATGTTCGTAGGAGTAGCTGTCTAACTTGCAATTGTGTTGGTTGGCAGTTCATAACAAGCTTTTGATTTTAAAAGTAAATTTTTATTGTATACACTGCTGGCGTAGAATGCCCAACTTTGTTAATTTATGCATACAAATCGCATCAAAATTTTGTCGAATGTCACGATTAATTTATATTATTTTCTACAATTATCAAAATATGTATAAGTACAGTTCTTTAAATTTAACTGAAATTAAATTAAGATTACTTTCAGAGTTAAAAGTTAACGTTTACGATTATTAAAATCGATCGTCGACGTTCAATGAATATACTTGGACGGTAATAAAATTTCAAGTGTCTCGCCATTGTAAATTACCACTTACGTAGGCGCGTAAATGTATTCTCGACAATACACGTGAACAAATGGGCACGACTACGTCGCATTCATTCTACTTTGCGAATACAGAAGCGGGAGTTTCGTGAATCTCCTATGAAATTCGTTAAAAAAATCATTCTTGCCTGTGGGGTCGTAGTTTGC